GCGATTAGCCTGACGCGAGTTCGAATAATCACACCGAACACGGCGAGGTCGGTGTCAAACTCATATCAGCGCCTGCGAGACTGTAGGAATACTTCACGCATTGCGCCAAACAGTGCGGTCGGCGTCAAACGCATATAGCGCCTACAAGACTGCACGAATACTTCCCGCATTGCACCAAACGCAATGCCCGAGTTGCTGCCAGGGTAAAAGTGACTGTCCACGGGGAAGGGGCTTTAGTCAAGTGGCGAGACGTGAAAGATCGATTATCGATATTTCCCCAAATGAAGCTGAGGTAAATAATTGCTTAGTATTGTTGTTTGCAACGAGCACCTTTAAGAAATTATTAAAGGTGTTCGTTGCAAACGACCTGGTTATCGATCCTTTTCCATGGATTTAAATGGCAGATCAATCGATATGTCGCAAAGCACGCCACGCCACTGCAGTCCGCAGAGGAAAAATTTCTTTTTTTAGAGGGCGCATAGGTGAAGAAAAGTGATGTTGACCCCTTTTTATGGTCAAATATTAAGACCCTGTCTCCTCACCTCCCCTGTTCTACTGAGCTAAGGAAGAACGTCTCATAAGCCTTTGAATATTGCCAAATTTCTTTTTTAAAATATGAATTTTCAGGGGAATCTGAGAATATATTTCTTTTTAAATTTTTCAGTGCATTTTATCTAAGAACAAATCTGAATCACCTGAAAATTTCAAAAGCTCATTTTCATAACTCTCCTCGAAAATATACGTTTTATCCGCAGAAATTTGGCAACTCTTAAATGCTCATACGGCGTTTTTCCTTAGCACGGCAATGTCCATTGCACGGGACCGCCTCCGGCCTACAATACTGCCGTGCTAGAGGAAGAACACCGTATGAGCCTTTAGACAGTGCCAAATTTCCCTTGATAAAAGATGAGTTTTCAGGGCAATTCGCGAATATTTTTCTTCCTATTTTCCATGGAATTTTATTCTCGATTAGCTCTAAATTATCTGAAAATTTCAAGAGATAATATTTGTAACTCTTCTCGGAATTCAACCATTTACAGGAGGAAATTTGGCGACTCTCGAATGTTCAGACGGCGTTGTTTCTCAGGACGGCAGAATACCGGGCTCTGTTTTGTTATGTAAGAAAACATTCGGTTTATTGAGGTTAGTTTGAAACCACTTCATGACAATACTGCCGTGCTAAGGGAGAATGCCGTATGAACATTCGAGAGTTGCCAAATTTCCCTGGATAAAACATGTATTTTTCTTAAAATTCTTGCACATTTTTCCTTGAAATTTTCAGGTATTTTAGATAAAATTGCGTTCAAAATCGTCTGACATTTTTGGGAAATAATATTCACAATTTTCCCAGTAATTTCGGTTTTTAGCGGAGGAGATTTGGAGATTTTTCTGAAGGCTCATACAGCGATCTTCCCTAGCACGGCAGAATAACAGACTCAATTCAAATTAAAATTCAAAATAACTTCATTTGTATGAACATGGCAGCGTAGGTCTCCTTCGGGTTCCCGTCAAAAAGGTCAAACAACGCGTCTTTCGTAGCGTTATCTCACGTGTGGCGGGATAAGCGCGACTCTTAGCCGTCTAAATGAGTTTTAAAAAAACAAAATCGGAGAATGATCGCACTCGTTCTTCTGGACGCTTGGATCTACGTTCTGCCGTGTTAAGGAAGAACGCCGTATGAACTTTCGAGAGTTGCCAAATTTCCTTCGATAAAATGTTTATTTTTGAAGAAAATTATGAATATTTTTCCTAAAAATGTTTTGGAACTTTAGGTGAAATTGCGAACAATATTATCTGAAAAATTGGAAGAAAAATATTCAGGAGTTTACCCGGTGATTCGTGCCTTGTCAATCGAAATTTGGCAACGCCTGAAGGTTCATGCGGCGTTCTTCCTTAGCGCGTCAGCGTTGTGGATAAGATGAAGCGAAAATGGGGCCGCTTTAACATAGAAAACGGGGCGTGACCCAATTTTCGGTCCCACTGAACTTATTGTTAGCGTTAGTGATGCACTCGACGCGCTAATTTGATTACTGCCGTGCTAAGGGAAAACGCCGTATGAACCTTCAGGCGTTGCCAAATCTCCTTTCATACAACGCGAATTTTCTGGTAAACTTATGAATATGTTCCTCCCAATTTTTCAGATAATTTTGTTCGCAATTTCACCCTAAAGATTCTGAAAATTTAAAGGAAAACTATTCATAACTCTCCTCCAGAATATTCATTTTATTAAAGTAAATTAGGCAACTCTCGGATGTTCATACGGCGTTTTTCCTTAGCACGGCAGGTTACTTATCCCTCCTGCACCCAATGTTGCCGTTATTTGTTTATGCCCCTTTCTTCTCTTCTCCAAACATGATACACGATGATTTGTGTGTTAAAAAGAAAGGCTCTCTTTGTAAGCAAACTAACTCAAACAGAAATCTATCCCAGGATTGAGATAAACAAAAGGGAAAAACGGACAAGCACATGCAAGTATGCACAGCCGTGCTGAGGAAGATAAAACGGTGTATGAACTTTCCGGGGTTGCCACATGTTCGCCAATAGAGTGTTAATGAAACATAAAAGTTACCACTTCTTTCGAATTTGTAGAATGAAATAAATAACGAATAAAATTACTGAGAAAATTTGAGGATGAAAATGCAGAACTTTTCCAGAAAGCAATTTATCATTGAATATTTATTTTTCGTAAATCCGAGCGACACCTCATTGATATCATAGAGTGGATCATTGCGAGTTCACGTCTCGCGCCATCGCGCCATCCCGCCTTCAATTTTGCACACGCAACACGGACATCCATCAGATACGAATAGTTGTATCTCTGCGCCGTCGTCAATGCGCGTACATTCCCTCGCTCTATTTCCATGTTGGGTCGGTTCCATTTGTCTTACTTGTAGCAGTGCTTCAAAGGGCTACGTGAGTAACATAGCTGAAGATAGGAACGTTTTTGAACTCTTCTCCCGAGCGGAGTGACATACCTCAATAGCCACGCAATATAGAGCGGAGCACTGCGAGTTCACGTCTCGCACCATCGCGCCTTCAATTTTGCGCACGCAACACGGACATCCATCAAGTACGAATAGTTGTATTTCTGCGCCGTCATCAACGCGCGTTCACCCTCGCTCTATTTCCGCATGTTAGATTTAGTTTGTCTCATTTGTAAAGGTACTTCGAAGGGCTAAGTGAGCAATACAGCCACAGATAGGAGAGACGTTGGTATTAGAGTCTCGTTTTTTAACTTTCCTCCCGAATCTAAGCGAATCCGCATCAATCATTATTTTATCCATGATGATTCTTGCATGAAAGAAGATTGGTTGGTTGCGTTGTTCTGTAATATTGGAAACCTTACATCCATTTACTTCCTTAAATGGAAAGTGTGAAATCTCGCATTTTATCTACTCATCTATGAAAATATTCACTAAAAATGTCATCCAAAAATGTCACGGAGGCATTTTTCTTCCGCGAAACGAAAGACTTGAGTAGGGAAGGTCGGGTATTTTAAAACATCGCAATCGAGGTGTATTTTATTCTAATTCATGTCAATATGGACACTTACAATACGACAGCGATAATAACGAGAATTATAGATCCTGCAGTATGTTACGCGCGGTATCTTGAATTAAGTAGAAACTGTCCAAAGAGCCAACGCCGCCTGTGAATGATGCAATTCGCTCAACAATAATCGCGCAGTTAAAACGGTATGTTAAAAAATATTACGCTATCATCACTTCGCTGCAGTCGTGCTAAGACCAGTGTAGGTAATGTTGTTGCCACTGCCGCGCAGAAAACTTGAAATGACTCACACAAGTACGAAAGTAAGTACCTACTGAGTGAGAGTAAACCGTCGACGCAATTGCAATGAGTGTCCATTCTTGAGCACGGGTGGAACTATACGGGAGTTTTTTGTGAGGAAAAGGGCATGCATGGGAACTGCGGAAACGGAATTTCAGGGGAACGAACCGGGGGAACTTAGGGGGCACACTACCCTATTCCCCCTCCAAGGAGAGTCCGCGGAAACTCTCCGGAATAAAACGTTCTGAAAAATTAAGACATCCAAGAGAAGTTCTGCATGCTCTAACCTACCTATGGATTTGTTAGAATTTCGTCTCAAACATGATGAAAATGTCACCTTGTTATTTCGTAAAATTCGTTGCATTTTTTCCGATCCCTCCCTCGGAAATCTCATTGGTCTCTACCAAGAATGTGAGTAGTTTTGCTTAATAACCACGTGGCATACTTGTCATCTTTAAAATTGTAATTTGATCCGTTTTTTGGTAATGACAGTCTAAAGTTGCTCCTTACACTGTATTCAGTTTTTCAAAATTTTTTGGGGGCCCCCCAGACACTCCTTAGGAATATTATATAGGGAAGCCCCCCAAAGCTTTCCCTTGGAACTGGAGGAGTTCTGCAAGACCATCCAAAGTGGAGTGTCCTCTTAAGCCCCCTATACCCTTTCCTATAATAAGATGGCCTTTTACTCCTCCAAGAATAGTTTCTAGTTCCATCCATGTCTTCACCCACGCCCCCCTCCCCCTCCTCATATCATCGATTATTTTTGACAATATGAAGAATGTAATTTGATTAAAATACCGGTCACTTCTATTGAAAGTGATGAAAGTAAAAAAACAGAGCAGGAATGTAAAATCGCCGTACTGAATCGAGGCACTCACATTTTTTTTTCTTTTTTTTTATGAGCTTTCGATATCTAATCGGATGTAGAGCGGGGAGAGGTGGGGGCAATTGGTCAAAGGGAAATTGATCTTTATACGTGTCGCACAATTTTGGAAAGCAGCACAGTAGGTCCAACGTTTTAAAAAATTCAAGAATCGCATCAAGTGCGTATTTACAGGTCGTAAAAAGCTGAAAAATGCATGATAATAATGCTACGAGCAGCAACTATAACAGGATGACCTTGCCCCTCCACCCTCCCCCTCCCTATGAGCTACACTAGCGCTCGAGGCGGGCACGCGCGAAGTGAAACGCTCTGCTTGTAAACAAAGCAGTGTTGAGGTGAACGTAACGGACGAAGGATCATAGCCAATCTCCGATCTGGATTCTGAAATCGCACGAATGTGCACCTAGAGCACCTGAATAATTTCAATTTCATGTAAGCTTTTCGTTTGCTCCTCTGTTTTTTTCGATTTATTGTTCCGAATTTCCTCAAACTACTTAGACCGCGTAGAAATGGGTTTTGAGTTCTATTTCATTGCGAATCTCTTTGTGTTTGAATTTTGCGTTTTATTTTATGTGATCTACGTTTAGTAGTCGCTCTTCGTCTCTAAATTTTTCGGTCGTGCGATTGATCAATGTGAAGCGTTCGCGTCGCCAATTCTTCTCTCCAGCTTCCTGAAATGCAAAGTGCTTCGCCTCCAAAGGATTACGAATTAGCTGAAAATTTAAAGAGTGCGTCGTTAACTCAAGAGTGTGTAGGTGAACTGTGACGTCGTTTGTATGGCCTCCGTCTCAGCTGATTTCCTTCAAAAAGTCGTTGTTTATATTTTCCTTCACCACCCCTTTCGAACGGACCGTTATCATTTTTACGTCCTCGATTTCGCCTACTCGTGAGTGGTAGTTGCTAAAGTGTGTTTTTTCTATTAATTTGCATCCTAAATGACACGGGAATAATCAGGCGCTGGGAGAATTACACCGAAACAATTTGTCATGGCTTTGTTTTTGTTTTCATGCAGTTCATAGACCTCAAGTCAAAGTGTTTTGTTTACCTCCGGAAAGCTGACGAAAATTTTTAGCCGTAGTAACTTTTTGATGATCAAGTCAATAAGTTAGATGACACTTTTCGTGGATTAAAATGTGTGTGGCGTTTTGTACCTTTCATTATCGACGATAACCAAGTTTGATAATTAATAGTGCGGTATTATACATTTTTAAATTGTATGAATCAGGATTTCCAGCTGAGGAGTTTTCAAAAGTTTTTGACGTGCATTTTATGATATTAAATGGACGATGCCAGTGGACTTTTGACTGAATCTGATGAACCTTCCCATAAAATTCTAGTTTTCATTCCTTTTTTTACTGAGTCCAAGTTGTCAGACGCCAAGGAACTTGGTTGTGATTATGTTTGAAAACTGTCAAACTTTCTCCAACTTTACAGATTTTTTGTGCTTTTATTACTGAAGGGAAAACAAATTGATACAATTTCAAATGGAAGTTATGACATAAAGATGGATTGTATACATTGCACTTGGTAGTCATCCTGTCCAAATTACTTTGGTGCACTGTACTTAGTCAATCTGATGTACATTTGTTTTTTTATAAGTTTTTTAAGCTAAGCTTATAAAAAGTATAATCCAAATACTGGTGTTTCTAGTTAAAAATTATTTTGCAAAAGGCTAAGGTGTTTCATGTTGACTGAAAAGTGCATGTAGGTGATTAATTTAGTGTTGGTTTTTAACTGACGCACTTTTATTGCCATTTGAAGGATTCCTCCGTCAGCACAGGTTTCTGAGTGGGGTGGTTTTTTTTTATAGAATGAATGAAAGAGAGTAAAAAAAAAATTGTTTGTTAACTTCCTGTTACAAAGTCGCAATCAGAGTTTCAACCGTAGTTGTCAATATAATCTTACTACTCGAGGTATCAAACCCTCCTGACACGCAGGTCACTGCAATCCGAAGCATCACCAAGTTTTTCATCACAAACCATGGAAACAAATTTCTGCATCAGCCGAACTCACATAATTAAAGTTTCATGTACTTAACTCACTTAATCTCAATCGAAAATGTGTTTTTCTTGTTTCTCATAATGTACAGAATAGTTGCATGGCACAGAAAAAGGACAAGCATCATAATGTGTGTACAAATTTAAGGAAAAAACGATTGTTATAAGCAGGACTGAGGCGAATGTTTACAAGGAGGGCTCAAGATGCCCCTGTTTGACTCAAGGAGAATGGCTTTATTTTCAGGAACTTTTATGTCATATGTACGTTTTTAAATTTCAGGAGCTGCCATGCCCTCACTTCTGGAAGCAATAACCGAGAAATATGGCGCAGATTCAATGGATTCTCTGGACGAGCTCCCGATAGCAATCTACGTTCCAAAACGAGGGCCTCGGAACATTGTGCCCTCGTTATTAGTTTTAAATGACTGTGATATTGACACTGCAGGGTCAGAAAATGAGCTTAAACAGAAATGCCAATGTGTGGAAGACTTGGACTTGGCCCAGAATAATTTAACACAATGGAGTGAGGTGAGCAAAATCACCTCTAGATGTTTATGTTATTTATTTATTTATTGAATTTATAATTTAAAAAATTATACAGGGCCTCTATGGCTTTGAAACGTATTCTATTGAAGAGCAAAGAAATAATGAACAAAAATATCGACGGTGTAAGTCGGCAATCACATAACTCGGTTTGCGACGTCGCAGACTTCTTGTCATACTTTATTTTTTAAATGGAAAACTACTCAACAGCAATTCTTTAAAACTGTCATGATTTTTCTTCTCAATGCGAGGAAAATTCTGCAAAAACTTCAAGAAATAATGTCAATTTGTTCTCCTTTAAAAAGATGACGTAGAGGCGGAGATTTTCAGACACCGCAAACGAGTTATGTGATTGCCGACTTTCACCGTCAATATGGGTCTGAATCCTAGCAAGAACCAACTAGGTAACACAAAAAAAATGCTCTTAAATTAAATAATTCCCTTTGAAGAGAATGCTCTACATGGGAGTAAAAAAAGAGAAGAGAAATAAAGACAACCGATTGAAAGCAAAATTTTACTTAAATACTTATACGGAATAATTGTGTAAAAATATACAGAAAGTAGGAGCTCCTATTCAGGACAGATCCAGGCAGCTGTACCTAGAAGAAACTGAACTCCAGTTGCTCCAACTTCCCTTGAATCATAATTAATGCTCTCTATATCATTGATGAGTCACCCAAGACAGTCCTGGCAGTTAAGTTTAATTTTCTTGAGTTTTTCAAGCAGCTAGCATTTCTAATTTACTTTCTTTGATTCCAGATCTTCTCAATACTGAGATTGATGCCCTGTCTGAAATTTGTCAATCTTAGTTTCAATGATCTTAGTGCAGACATAATTCGTAATAACATCATTGACACACAGTGGGGCTACCTGAAAAATCTAGTACTTAATGCTACACAGATTAGTTGGAAAAATGTAAGATGCTTGCTGAAAAATTTACCCAAGTAAGTAATGTGTTCAACTGTTGATCTCTATCATTTGTCTCTAAAAAAGAAAGACAGATTTCCGGCAGTCCAGAAAACCTGGAAAGTCAGGGAATTTGCCAGCAGCGTTTAGCAGAAGTCAATGTAACAAAAAGAAAAAATCTAACAATAAGTGGAAGTTTTGTTTGAAGATCAGGGAATTCAAACTTTCAGAGTCAGGAAAAGTCAGAGAATCAAAAACTTAAGAAATTATAGAAACTATTGGAGAAAAAGAAACGAACTGTTCAATATTTAATATTTTACGAAATTGGCACAAATGAGCAGAATAAGCTTATGTGCAGGTCAAAAAATTTCATTACTAAATTCAGATAATTTAAACAGGAAAGAGAAACTGCTTCAAAGAGTTTTGGTTTGAGTTTCTGTGTTATTTTTTTATAAAGAATACCATCTTAAACTGTAAAATAAATCTGAAACTGTTGTGTTATGGGTCAAAACTAAACAGTATTATGAAACTTTTCATCCTTCACAGAGCAAGTATTTAATGCTTTTCAGACAGTTCAGAGGTCTTGCTTTACTGTATAATCTTTGTAAATCGGAAAAATATGCTCTCTAGCAATCTATTCAAATTTTCTTTTTTCTTGGTTCTTATAACTCAGTTCCTGTGGATGATTAACTGATTTCAGAGTGGAAGAACTGCATCTGAGTCTAAATCACTACGATAATGTGGATCTGATAGATGATGTATCTAAAGAACCTTTAGAGGTGAAAAGTTTGAAAAAACTTCACTTCACAGGTATGAACCATTTAAACATGTAGTATTGCGTTTTGTTGTTCACAATCTAATTATCAAGAGAATTAGAAAAAAGATTTAATTTTCTTCTAAACAAGTTACAAAGAAGAGAACTAACTTTAAATGCCTTTTAATTACCTTCAGTCACTCGAATCGTTAATTTCTTCAAAGTTATCTACAGGGATCAAATGAGCCAGTTTCCATAATTTTGGGGCAGCCAGCCTTTTTGGTCCAATTGAATTGCTATGTAAACTCAATGTACGTACAGTGCACGCTTACTAATTTGAAAAGGCTTATAGTTTGAAGGGTAGGTTAGTCCCCTTCAATCTGAAGAATTTCAATGTATTTTGGCCCCCTCGCTAATTCGAAATGTCGAGCGCCAAGCTGGCTTGTTAATTAGCTATGTAATTCAAAGTGTCCGGCTCAGCCCCCTCTGTGATTGGAATTGACATGCTGGATGCTCTGTAATTCGAAATCTTTTGGCCGGACGCTCTATAATTCAAACAAGGTTTAATCAATTCCGAGTAAAGAACGTTCATTGATAATGGTCGTTTCCTCCTCTTCATTTCTTAAAAAAGTAACAACATGTACTCGAATTCTGAATTATAGAGCTTCTGATATCACCATTTCGTATCATAGAGCTACTCTAAAAATATTATTTATTTATGCACATCATATTTATTATTTCACTCATTTGTGTTCACGAATTTTTTCTTTATTCAGGAAATCCTGTGGAATCATGGCTAGAAGTTAAGAAGCTCGGCATTTCATTTCCTAATTTGGAGTCATTAGTTCTGTCCCAGTGTCCTCTACGAAGTTTAGACTCTTCTTGTTCCTCTGTTAGTAACGAATGCAAGTCATCTCTCTACTCTCGATCAGAAAGCGAATCTGAATCCTCAGGTTGGTTGATCATTTCAGTATCACAGATTGTAAACGATGTTTTATAAAGGACAGCAATGGCTCCCCACCTGTTTCGTTTTACTTATGGAAGTATCAATTGAATCGACGCATGCAAAAACGTCCGTTGTCCGATACAGGGTTTTTATAATTGCAGTGGTTTCTTTTTCCCTACATCACCGATGAATATGATCGATCTCTTTTGTAAACTCTTAATTATACTGAGGGAATTATTTATAGCATTATTCTACATTTCTAACGTTTTAAATCATCGTATGTCTTCATGTTACAACAAAATCGTTCACTCAAATTCTGAAACACTGTATTGGATATCGGACGTTTTCGCATACGCCGTTTCAATTAGAGTTGCCAGTCAGGAAATACTGAGAAATTTCAGGAACTTTATGAAGCCAGGAAAAATGATAAAAGTGTCCAGGAAAAAGTGTTGATCGCCTTATTTACCTTATTTGCCTTATAGAATGGATTGACGTTTTGAAAAAAAAATTTGGTCTGAAAACGTTTTAAAATCATGTCTTTTCAACCATCTGGCATATCTTCAGTTGTCAGGGAATTTTACTCAAATGTGTCCGAAAAATCAATGAAACTTCAGAGAATTTCATTTTCTAAGTTTTGTGGCAACCCTGAATGATTAGCAGGCCAATGTGCCTATCCTATCTTTGCATTAATTGGTAGTAGAAAAAGAGCTCATGAATCAAATTTAGATAGAAGGCATCCTTGTATGGTTTAATAGTACAAAACAGAATTTTTTTCCATGAAAAATTTTTATTGGTATGGATTTTTCCCTCTCTTTCTTATTGAAAAAAATTCACCGTTTTTACGAAATGCTGTAGATGATGGCTGAACATTCTTCTGTCAATGTCAAGTGCTTCAGGGAAAATAGCCAATAGACGCTATTAGTAGTATTAGTGCCTTGTCACAGAAAAGCAACATATATAGATTTTTTTTCGCATTGGTAGCATTGAAAGAGGTTATGCTAATGTTATTCTTTGGATCCAATTCATTATAATGGAGAATCCCTATGATGACAGCGCTACTAACAGCGTCTATTCAGACGAAATAACTGCCATCTTTGTTATTGTATACGTTGTTATATTGTGCTTTTTCCTTCATTTGCACTACATAGTTTTTACAGTAATGTATCAGTAGCACCCATTTTCTTTCATTCATTTACTGAAAGTATGGAGTGAACTAAGTTTCCAGGAATTTTTTGCCCTAAATGGCAAAGAGACCGTGATCAGGGGTAAAGGCTTTTGCTCTTTGGTCTCACTCAGCTGCAGACATTACCTTTGCTATGTCAGCTTTTGATTAGCTTCTTGTTCCCTTAGAATTAATTTTTTGAAATTTTAATTGACTTTTCACTTTTTCCACAAAAGTTTTCATCTGAGAAATTATTGTTTGATCCAGCAACAATTCCCAGCTCCTTACTGCCCCACATGAGGATATAGAGCAATGGAATATAAATCTAATTTTTTATCATGAGCGTTGTTTTTGGTGTATTTTAGCTTTTTTATTATCACAAATTAAAGCCCAAAAACTTTCTCGGATACCTTCAATCTGTGCTCTTATTTTTCTCAGCTCTCACTTTCTCTTGTTTCAGAAAAGAAAAGTGACTCTCCACACAGTGCATTTAGATTTCTCCGTTTTCTCAATCTAAATAACACTTTGTTGGACTCCTGGGATGATATTGATCGCTTAGGTCGGTTTCCAGCCCTGCAGTACCTTAGAATACAGGGCTGTGTCTTATTTGAGGTAAGCATACTTTTATTTCAATTTCTGTGATCGAAGGTGAATAAAAATAAAAAGAGTAATGATCATAAAACAAAAGCATATCTGTTCTGTTAACTACTCAGTGACTACTTTTTGAAGAAATCAACTTAATGATGCATATTATCCTCCTGAATTAAGCTCTATTAGTGTTTTGTCATGGCAATGTCTTGCATAAAAATTTAATTGGAGAGACAAATTAATTTCATTGCGAAAGGAATAGCAATAACCAATTGTCGTTATTGTGTATTTTCCATCTGAAATAATTGAAGTAAGGTGCCTAACAGGTCACCTGAGAAGGTCAGAAATTTAAGCAGTATGATCTATGCTTTTCTTTTAAATTTCATGAGAAACACAATTGAGGACTTCTCAGTAATAGGGTGTATGAGAAGAAGAAAAGACTGGAAATTGCGAGGATAAACCTGAGTATTGTTGCTCAGGGCTGAAAATTTTCAGCCAAAATATAAAAAATGAACCTGAGTTATGACAGTTGAAAATTTGCATCTCAAAAAATTTCCCGAATGTTTAGAGAAAAATATATTTGAATTTTTAATTTGCCTATTTTAAGGACTTAAAATCGTCGGAAAGAATGAATATCAGAAAAATTTTCCCTGTCCAAAACTTGTAACTCTCTGACCAGCGTGGCACAAATCGCTATCTCGAGAAATTTTCTACCATGGTTTAGTCCTTTCTCCCAGTTTTGCTTGGATGCAGCTCATTGAGGGTCAAATCAATGAGGAACAAAGTGTTTTTGCTGAGCAGACAGTTTTTGTCTAAATGATAAGTTTCTTTTGTTTCAATCTATCACATATGTTGATTTATCTTCTTTTCTTTTTTCCAGCATCCACAAGAATATACGGAACACGAACGGCGGCAACTTTTGATCGCACGGCTGCCAAATATTGAAATTCTAAATGGGGGTGGAGCCATCAGTACGGAGGAACGAGAAGACGCAGAACGCGCTTTCATTCGTCACTACATGGACAAGCCAGAGAGTGATAAACCAGAGAGGTAAAAAGCCCTTTACCAATTTATAACTAATCTTCAATAGAATTACGTATATCCCCTTGCGTCATCTTTATTAAACGCCAACCTTCTTGATTTCAATGTTTGTCACAATTTTTTGACCTATACTAATGTGATTCGAAATATTCACTTTTTACTGAAGATATCCTTAATTGGGCTTGCTCAATGCCTCCAAAATCGTTGATTGGCTAATGTGATTTTGCCCTAAGGAAACTTACTCCAGTAATTGGATTCCAGAGATTCACAGCCACTTATTTAAATTGCAACATAGTAATACTTTGATATCTTGTAAAATCTTGTGAAAGTGGTTTTTTCCAACATTGTTTGGATGCCTGTATTAAAGCGAGTGTTATTTTTGGGCAAAAATGATTTTTACTGCAGTCATCATTTTTTCTATGCCAAAAACTATGAAAAACCACTGTTTGCAAGACTCACGTTTATAGCTCTGAAAAAGGACGTAAGGAAACGTTTCGCCCCTTAATTTTCTGAACCTCACTAAGCCCGCGCCTTTTCTTTCTCATAGATACCATGACCTGGTGGCAATTCATGGCAAGTTGGACCCCTTGGTGAACATCGACCTGAGACCAGAAAGACGCGTTAAAGTGACCATCTCCTCAGAGAACTGCATTGAAGACCGATGTATCGACGTGTATCAGACCGTCCAGGAGCTGAAACAAAAATTGGAGGAACTCACGAAGATACCGGCACCCAAGATGCGATTATTCTACGTTGACCAGGACATGCGAGCACTGACTGGCCCCGAAGAGATGAAGTTTCCAAACAAGCAATTGTATAGCTACAATATATCCAGCGGTGACGAAATCATGGTTGACTTCAAAAAATAGTTTGTTAGATTTCAGAAATTTTATTTGAGTCGTCAAAATTAGCTGCACCATGTGATTTGGCGTATTTCTCTGGAGAGAAATAATTAGTTGTGGAAAATTTATTGCAGCAATTCGCCAAATCTTCAAGCATTTATTGAAACTTGCGTATTTTTTGCAAGTCGATGTGAGCATTGTTAAGCAACTTCATGGATTGAACCCATAGAAGTATGCTCTCACATCTTACATCGGTAATTGTCAACTTATTCTCTAACTCTGTCTCGTTTTGAATTATTCTGTTATTGATGTGAACTTCCAAGCTCTTTGTGATTGAACTTGTAAAATTGAATTTTCAAAACGAAATAGGTGAGTTTCATAATTTATTTAAAACTCAAGCCACAGTGTTCCTTATAAAAGGTGATCCGAAAAGTTATCCTCGTGTTTTTTTGCTCAGTTTTTTCAAATTTACAAAGGCTTTTTCAGCTTTCAAATTTTGCATCTTAATGAAAAGATATCAGCCGACGGAGAAATTTTAGACTGAGTCATATTAATCTTGTCATTAAGTGTTAATTTTGAATATTTTTAAATACCATCGTCCCTTACTTGGAGGGCCATACAAAGAAAAACTGAAGTGTTTTTGAAACCTTATTTTCCTGGCGGAAAGAGATATACCACCAATTACACCTTAGCATTTTCCGATATAGCTGTTTTTTTGGAGTCTGCATCCTCCGTCAGTTATAAGACTAATCTTGACACAATCTCCAGTGGTAATTGTCATGTCGTAAACTCTGCGACAACGCAGTTTGAAGAAAACATAGCTTAAAAGTCGTTGGGACTATCAAGCATTCATCTCGATGAGTTCAAGTCTGATTTCAGTCCCACTTTTCTGAATACTCTGTTACATCCAACCTCCATTTTTGTGGCTTTGAGTTTTTAACTGCTGAAGAATGTTTTTACTAATTGATTTATGACAAAAAATGAATGTAGTGAACGGGATCATTAACCCTATTCAAGCTCTGCCAAGTTTTAAATCGAGAAACCATGACCTGTCCTGTCAGGAGCTCTTTTCCCTCTTAATTCTCCTTTAATTTTTGTGATATTAATGATGTTTGTATAATCGGTGTAAATAGGAGCGTATCAAGTAAGATTTCGCTTTTGACTGCGTGTTAGACGTACCGCAGTCAAATTTAGATACTCATAAAATGTTTTTAAAGTGACAAACTTTACCCATACAGAACAAAGGAGATAACTCTTCAATAGACTGTTGGATTAACGTTTCAAGTACTTCCTGTTATGAAATTTTTTTTGCATGATATGAGGTGTTATTATGGTTTCCTGGCATTTTGTGCGTATGTTAGCCTGATATATAGCTATGCATTCTCCTTAGTTGGGAGAGATGTAAAATCATGTAACTTTTCACATTTTTGTCCTTGAAATCTTTAAATTTGCCATTGCACAGTACGTATACATTTGTCATTTAGGTACTAGAGACCATGCAGAAATGGTAAATTCTGAGTTTTGCTTTTGTCATCTGACAAGATCCATCTCTATCAGTTTCAACTGCTATCTTGATTAATGAAAAACTTAGTAGTTTTGAAAGTATTTTCATTCACAGTTTTGGCAAGTTTTGAATATTGCACTAATGATGCTTTCATGTAACGGACAGTCTGAAAAATCAAGATAATTAATGAAAAAAAATCAGAGGACTTTCTGAGTAGCTTATCAGCCTAGCAACTTCAGCCTTTGCCATTCGAGAGCCGAACAACCTCAGATTGCCATATCTAGAAGTGGAGATTTCTTCTTTAGTTCAGAAAAAGTCAGCTTAGGAAAGAAAAAAAATTAATTTGAGGTTTTGATCAGAGGTCTGAAAAAGTCAGAAAAAAATCAAAGACTTTGGACATTTTGGAATCTGAGAAAAGTTAGGGAATCAGCGGATCAAAGTATTGAAGAACTCCTGGTTACGTGTCAGTATTGTAGACCATTTAAAAGTCATCATAACATTGCAAGTAAAAATACTCTCTAATTGACGAATATCTTGATTTCTTCCATTGCATTGCTGTAGAAAATAACAACAGAAAATCATTCAAATCTGAAAAAGCTTCTCAAACTTTTTTTTTACAAAGTGTGACAAACTGAAAATAGGTAGGATAAAAAATGTGGAAAGTTATCTGATCTTACTCATAGCCTATTTGTTATCTCCCTGCTAGAATTCTATTTCTGCTAACTTGAAAGAGAATTTAACTCAAAATCAGCGCTGACAAAACAAATTAGATATAATTGAACTCACCCGGACTAATTTCCTAATGCCTAGTTCTAGTTTTAAGACTTACAAGGAGAGGGCCCAAGATCTCTGCCTCTGATTTGGATGTGGCATTGTTGCTAGATAGTGCTGAAAAGTCAACACATTTCCCCATTTAAACCCAAGTAAAATATCCACATTTTATCGTACAATCTGGAACCCTAGGATGTGGATCAAAAGTTATGTTCAGAGCTAATCCCTAAGGTTCTTTAACATCCCCACTCACTCGCACAAATCCCATTTCAAATAAAAAAAATGACGTATCTGCACCGCTTTCCTGTTTGGGGGACTTACTGGGTACAATAATCATTTAGCGCAAACTGCATCTGAATCAGACACGACTATTTTGGAACTCCTTTTGTTAAATTTACTTCATTAACACCACTAACTCAAAACTTAGCGTAAGTTTTCTAGAGTAAGAAGTCTCATAATGAAACAGCAAAAAATTTTAGAGAGTCCTCAGAGGGATTTACATGAAACCTTTAATCGCCTGTCTCAATTGCAAGGTTCCAAAGTCATGACTGGGATGAGCTTAGAATTCGACTCCTGTAGGCTTGTGAGAGCAAGTCGATTTTTACCACTTTTTCAAAATTAACTTTTTGATTTTAGGTTCATTTTTATGTTATTCACATTATAGTTTTTATCCTTTTCCCGTGCAAATTAAGTTGTTCTTTCTATTCCGATTTTTTATTTATCGTTGTGTATGATTTTTCAACATTTTCTATTTTTGGTTGTGATACAATCTTATCTTCTTTTCTTTCTCTCTCTCTCTTTTTTCGTTTTTTTCACCATCTCATATTGTTTGTATGATTTTGATTTTATGTGTTTCGATGATCATCCTTAATTAGTCTCGAATCGTTACCTAATTTTGATGACTGATTTGTGATGTTTTGATGATTGCAACTGATTTTTCCTGTGAACTTTACAAAGTAAGCGCTAGGATGCCTCTCAAAATAGGGCACACCAATGTATTACAAATTTATGTTTTCAGCATTTATCATTTCAGAGTTGTTGACCTCCTTTATAATCCTTTTTAGAGTGTATAACTAATGCAATAGCATTTCAATTTCATGTTGTAACATTCACTCCAAGTTGCTCATGTTTTGCAGTCTATTATCATTTCTAGCAGCTCTGTTTTTCTCATTACAACTGATCAAAGTTGCAAAAAATTTATGTTAAATTGATGGTCAAAAAGCGAAACTAAGTATCTCCATTGCGGTGTCTCAACATTGAAAAAAAAATATAAAAAATTGAGGTTTTCAAGAAATTATGCTAACTAATTTTCCAAAGAGAAAATGAAGTATAATAGGAAGTCGCAAACGAAAATACATGGTTTCGCATTATAGCCATTAAAATGCTATTTCACAGGCTGACAATGGGTTTCTTGTCGCTTTGTTGTTCCACACGAATTTTATCTCAGTTTATTTTTGTTTTTATCACAATAACTACGACCAATTAAATACCATCACAGCTGTGTTTTACCAGTTTTTTTTAGAACTGATTATATCTTACCTCTTTCCAATCGTTTAAATTTTCTTTTTTTTTTTTTCATTTTTCCAAACTTAGACATATTAACTAGTTTCTCAATGTTAATTCACATGGTTACAAGATATTTGTTTTGGGCTATTGGCCAGTTTTTTTTTTTACCTTTGATGGAAAACAGTCAAGTTTGAGAGGATGATTCTTTAAAAAATCTATCTTTGAGATAAATAGTAACACTGCAACAAACTTTTATATTCAAAATTTGTTCAGTCAATAATACCTATGTCCTAAGAACCGAACGAGGTTTGAAAAACCAAGTATGTTTGCCTGTGCTTTTTAAAGGAACAGGTGCCAGTTTAGCTCTCAATCTTTTCCTAGCAAAAAATTTGTGCATGAGTGAATGAATTTATATTATCAATCTTCAATTTAGATTATCCTTGTATTTATTTGGTTTCAGTAAAGCCAAAATTGAAGTTTAAATCTGTTTTTTCGTTTTAGGAGGGAACAGGTTTTGGCTGTCTTGCTGATAAGCAAGGCAGCTGTTATATGCACGCAATACACTGGAACTATATGTATCACATTTTAGTTTTGATAAGGGAATTCATTGTAAATAAATTCAGAACAAATAAAATGTTTGTTTTATCAAAAAATTCTCAGTTTTTATTCACCTATCAAAACGTAATTCTTATTTGACTAATGGTCATTTTTATATCAAAATCACTGGATTTTTTTTTTAGCAGCTGCAAAGTTGGGTGCGTTTTTTTTTTTTTGCGTGAAAATATTATCAATAATATTGCAAGATTAAGAAATGATACAAGTTTTCTTTTCTTAAAGGTGATACATTGGCTACAAAAAATATTTAAACATTTTTAAATGCTCACTTTGAGTAGCATATCAACAGTGAAAGTACCAAATCGTGTACCTGGTTTGTGCTGTTTGTTAAAAAATCTCCACTCCCTTTAATTTTTCTAAAAAAGGAGGACAACTGAACACGATCGCTTTAAATTTTTGCAAAATATTCTGTACACAGAGAGAAAAAATCACTGAAGGTTTTGAGAGATGATGTAAAGTAGCTTAACATTTAAAGAATGAAATAAGATGGGAAGTCCACAGTATTGCAAATCGAGAAACTGATTTTGGGAGTTTCACCATCAATATGTTGAGTTTTTGTTGAGTTCGATTGTTAAGAAAGCAGCATTGATGACAAAATGTTAGGAATATTTTACCAATTTAAATTGACGATTTTCAACTTGATTTTAAATTTAAAATTTCCTTTCATTCGAAAAAGTAAATAAGTTATCCAATGCAGAATACTATAAAGTATTGGTAAATTTGGTAATAACAAAGGAGAAAATATAAGCAAGATTAGACCAAAGGTAATCACATGTATTTTAGTAAAAATACGAACATTGGCCCGATTCAAGAGTCTCTTGTGATTATATACAAATTCCAGATTAGTCATAGCTAAGAATTACCTTAGGTACATAGTATTCTAATTACAGGGTTATAACACTTCACAATGAAATGCAGTCTCCATAAGCTTAATTCGGACAGGGGCAAAATTTTAATTATGCTTTGGATCTGAGCAAATTTTAGTGGATATACACAATAAAAAATTCTATGGTTTTTAACATCTTAATTCAGAGATGGACTAGCAATGATCGCTAGTTTCTAACAGTGTTTATTTACTAATGGCGCTACAGCCCGGGGTAGGCTTTTTGTAACACTGCTGTTTAACTTCATTTAAATTCTTTGTAAAACAGCAATAAACCACAGGACAGGGTGCAAATTTAAGCATTATGATACACGTTTTCTTATTAAAATTTCATGCTGTACACGATTTGTACGCCGCCAATTACTGAAGGTAACTCCTAACTAATATATTAACGTTTTCTGACGTAGAAGTTCAAACTTCCTGCTTATTAAAAAAACCATTATCTACTGGAGTTAAATCGCACACTGAACGTTACAGTGACAATCTTTGTAGTATGAAAATATGACAACCTCTACATCGTCGCTTTGGCTCAGCTTTCACACATTGTTCACTCGTTGCACAACACAGGGCTGAGAAGAAACACTGCTCACTGAGAAGCCTGCCAAAACTGTTGTAGCGCGCAATTTAATTCAAGGAGACTCAAAGTTTTCATGTGAATGGAAAAATCAAACTTTTCGTGACCTATGATAAAGAAAAATGTTAAAAATCTTGGTTGATAGTTAAATTCAGTTATTATCGATGTACTAATTGTGATCTACGTGCGATTTGAAACGGAAAAATATATCTGATTACATGAATGCATAACTTATCTAGCGACCCCCTCTAGGTGAAGCAGCCTACCTTGATGAATATTGACTGTTTCACATGAATTTAAATGAACAGAGCCCAGCCGGCTGATTCTTGAAATTGATAGACAAAGCTATTGACAAAAAAGACAAAAGGGATATGGAGGGATCCTATTGTTGGAAGCGGATGGTTGCGATGGACAAAGAAGGTAGATAAAATACTAACTAAGCAACCCAAAAGAGTATTTAGTCCATCAGTTTCTTTCCCAGTCTAAAGGAACAAACCATTTCAATTAATAGGATTGCTCCATATTTCCTATGTCTTCTTCGTCTATAGCTTTGTCTATAAATTTCAATAATCAGCCTGCAGTGTTGTCAGCTTGCGAGAATTGTCACTACAAGGGAATGAGCTGCGAGCCCTCGGAAAAATCAAAACCTAGGCCCAAATGAAAACAAATAGATGAGTTACAATCACCGACATGATCATGATCGTAAGAATGCTTCCTTTTGAAAAAAATCTATTTCATTCTAAATCCATATATTAGAAAAAAATGAGATCAAGTGAAACAAATAGATTCAAATCCAGAAATCAGAAACAAATCAGACAAATTTTAATGTTACAGAACTCCCAAATCAGTAGGTGCTACATTCAGGACCTTGAGTCAAAGTTTAGCTTAGAAGGCACTGTGGGGTCTTGAAATATGTTCCTTTTTAAACATCTTTGCCAGTTGGAAATTCTTTAATTTTTGGATTATTTTTGGTTCTTTCTAATGCTTAAACTTTTTTTAAAATCGAATTGAAGAATTCTGGAAAATCCTACAGTTTTTGATCTCTTATACTTCACTTTTAGCGAGACACAATAGATTCTAATGTGACTACATTCAGTAGTTCAAAAGTTCTTTTGCTTTAACAATATAAATAAATAGTAAATTAAAAAATAAAAAAACACAGTTAAGGGGCTGGAGTGCAAGATTTAATGTAAAATCTTGATGATAATTTAAATTCCCTATAGATGGGATTTCCCTTAGATGGGTTCTATTCAAAAATCAAAAGGACTAAAATGTTATTAAACAAACATTAACATGTACTTGGCATAGAGTTAATTGAATTTTTTAAAAGCTTTAAATGAAAGAAATACAGGATTCATCAAGAATTTTCTCAGATTTTCAGGGATGCAAAGGTACGCAGTTTTTTAACCAAATCTATGACCAACGCTCTCAGCAAAAACTTGCATGCATTAAGAGATCTTTGACCCGTCAATGAAGTTTGCAAGATAAACTACCTTGGCCCACCGAAAACCAGGAATAAATCAGATTTAGCGCGGTTTCCGCATACACAGTAGAATTATTCATGGATTGCTGCTTTGAAGGCTTAATTTCTATAAAAGAACCTATTAAATTGCCTCTTGTTCCGCTGATGTACACCCATAATGATGCAAACCACCAGACAAGGTACAAATTGAAGCATTTTGATACTCGTTTCTTCTTCAAAATTTTATATGGAACACAATTCGCCCTACAAAAATTGCTTCCAAAATATTGGCACGGTCTCAAAAGTTACCACCTTCTTGCTGTAAGTAGACAATGTGCTGCTCAACCATACTTCAAAATGTTACCAACTACATAATATTCAGTGAACAAAAAGTTTATTTAAAAGATAAGTTTCTGCTCTTGGAAATCTACAAAAATTTATCAATTTATTGGTTTTGTCTTAAAAATCTGAATTGAATATACCTCCCTATGTTTAACCTCATTGGTTCAAAATGTCACAAAATCCAAACTAAGTGAACTTAGTACCTATATCCTGACAGAAAATTTTAGAGCAAAATGAATCACATTGTTCCACTTATGAAGATTTTAAAAAGGGACGGGGAGAAGTGATTGACTTTCTGACCGGCTCTATATCCAAAAACTAGGTCCTTTGCATATGTTTTCGTAAATAAGTTCAAGTCCTTTAGCTCCAACAATTACATCAAATTTTTTATTGATTGTTCAATTAATTTCATCAAAAATTAAAACAATTATCTTAGAAAAGCTATGCTTTGGCTTATCGTCTATTGGCCTAATGATACTTACAACCTTTCCGAAGGCCGATTTTTGCAACTTGACAATTATGTCCACTGATATCCCAACACTACGTTAGACTTGAGAATGAATAAATTAAGCGGAGACAAATCGTCAAAACTGTTAGAAATTTTGAAAATCTCAATTATTCTCAAACATAACTGCTCCATAAATAATAATTACAACTTCATGTATCAAACATAGTTGAAAAATACAAAAAATAGAGGTACATTTTAAAAATTAAAATGCTGACGCTTGTGCGTCTATCTTATCACAGTTTTACGAGGGTACCTTTTGAAAGTTTACGACTAGCTCTCCATGTCGATAGTCAGATCTGGTGGAGACATTGGCTCCGCTTTCACAGCATTGAATGAGGTAAACTGAGTGTTTTGACCGTACAGAATGTCCATTACTGGTTGAGGAATGTGTGACCGTTGCATGTCCGTGAATGTCACAATGTGTTCCAGCAGTGCAGGGCGTAGGTCTGGGGAAGCATCAAAAACATCTGCTAGCTGTTCCGCTGGCAACTGAAGCAACACCTGAAACAGGGAAAACACAGTGTGAGTAAATACGATTTACATTTAATGAATGAAAATTTAAACTGAGTAACATCAAGAATTTGGTGCAACGTTTGAAAAAAAAAATTTAAGCCTTTTACTATGATACAGCAAAAACCAAAGAAATAAAATTTAAATTCTTTGCTACGGATAATGCTTCAAACAGATTTTGTTGGCAGTGATGAACTTTTGCTGTAAATTTCTGACAAAACTGAGTTTAGGCATTTTCATCTTGATATGTAGAAAAGCAGTCCAAAATTTTTTATGTACTTCTTGATTAAAATAATTGTTAAACAGGGCTAATAGCAAGGAAAGTACCAAATTAAATGAAATAGGGAAATCTGGTCTTAAAAAAACTCAAACTTTACTTCCTTATTTCAATAATAAAAAAAAGGGGAAAAGTTCAACCCTTTTCGAGTTGAGATTCTCGTTTTACTTCTTGATTATTTAAACTTAGACAGAATACTGCTGCTGCATAAGAGCTATTTGACATTTTTGTTCAGCAAATAATTAACACTAGACCCATCTTGTTGCATGGTTCTTGCCTTCAAAAATAACTAAACAAATTACACTTTGCTTTAAAAATCAGAACAGTCAACTTTGAGAAATTCTATTCACCAACCTGGAAGCTCTGCGGTTTTGTCCTTTGACAGCATTTGATGAATCCTTCCCACACTTTCTTCTGCCTCCAAACCTGCTTCAATATCAGCCTTTGCAGTACATTCATCACAAAACCGATGAGCTTGGGGTATAACGACAAAGATTGAATAACAGTCCGCATAAGAAGTGTCGGCAACGGGGTCATTTCCATTAAGTTCTGCATAACAATTGCCAATACCTCCTGCGTGTAAACTGCTCGCTCTGCCATGCAGAGTGAGGTAGCCTTGATCACGACTTTCAATTCACACTTGGTGGAGTCTATATTATGAAGTGCTATTAACAATTCTGCCGGAGTCAACGGAGAGGATGAGTTATCAGAATTATAACCTAACAGTCTGTTGAACACTTCTTTGACTACATTAGGATTCAGTTTGATTAATTTAGGAAGCGCGGCAATTACTTCTTTCTTGGTGAGGCCATTGAGAACAGGAATTAAGAAACGTATGTCAGATACTCGCGTATTATACAAAGTCCGCACTCGTTCTACTAATTCGGCACTGGGTGGGCGTTTCTCCGTAAGAATGTGAATCACTCGTGTGACAAGAGTCTCTGCACCTTTCGGGCACTCTTCTACAAGTTTTAAGATCGATGGTGAATTCATTTCCATCTCTTTAACTGGCGTCTCTAATAATCGTAAGATAACACGTTTCACGTCTGCCGTTGTCTGCACATAAACTATTGCCAGCTCGTGGATTAATTCTTCGTTCAATGCGACTAATGCAAGGTAGAGGTATAAACAAACTTTCGCAGCCTCTTCTGTCCAGGTTTCTGTTGACAGCGGTCTACCTTTGTCTGCTCCAAAGATCACATCCGGTGGTTGGGGTAATTTGAGGAATCCTAAGTAAAACACGGCATATTCCTCGATAATGTTCCTCAGATCGCTCTTATGGAACAGTTCAAGAATGAGAGAAATCGCTTTATCGCGGATTTCAACAACCTCGTGGCCAGTTATCATCAGAAGCGTGTTCAAGTAAAGCAGTTGACGTGGTGGCCGCTTCAAAACGAGAGTTTGGAGTATGTTGAGACCACTGATTTCCCGAGAGGCAAAATCTTTCAAAATGTCGATTGCATCTTCAGTAAGATGTGGGGCTTCTAGATACAATTTGCTCATTAGACTGAAAAGAGGGAAACAAATTAAATTAATATCAGTGAGCAATCATAACTATGTATTAAAGTAATGGACTACATTTTGAGATTAAATTACAGCCAATGAGGAGACAGAAGAAATACTGAGGGCCAGCAAGAGTGAACTGAGCATGAATCTCAGAAAAAGCTGCAGGTGAAAGATTATTCAAATTTTTTTAGCTTTGCTAACTTGGTGTATAAAAGGTAAATGAGTAAAACAATGCTGAATGAATAATCAATTTTTAAAAAGTATCATTTTTTTACTTATTGGCCCTTGTAAAGAGCTTTTTCTTTTCGAGTGAAAAGGAAAAAATCAATTTACAAAAAATAGTTCAACATTTTCTAAAAATCTGCAGCACTTATCTGTTTCTTGCAGTTTTATTAACAGTTTCCATTGAATTTGGTTTTTACAATTGGCAGACCGAGGCTAGGAGTGGTAAGAAAATACTTGTTGGTACGTTAATGGTACACTTTGTTGCAAAATACTGTTGCACTCTACTCTGGATGCTCTTATAAAAACAGCTGTATCGGAACCATGTGAGCCTTGAGTAAAAGTATTGTTGCCCAGTGTATCTGTATTGTTTCTCTCACAGAACTGAAAGATGTGGCAGCAGCTCATTTTTGCCAGGTTTGAAAATTCGAAAGTCAGTGCTTTAAGTCTCTCTGCAGTTATTACTTGTTGATCAAACTGTTTCAATAGTTTATAGAAAATTAATACACCACAAGTGACAGAATAGTTTATAGAAAATTAATACACCCCAAGTGACAGCATGACGCCAATTTAATAAGGTTGAGCTAGTTTTCCACTTACATTTTTTTTGGATATAACATGAAAATTACTAATAATACTGAGATGAATAAAAATGAGCTCAACGGAGTTAGTAAAAAAAAGAAAAAGAATAGAATAGAATAATATGGGAATCACAAGAGTTTAGAAAAATATTTTTTGTAATTGTATCAAATTCTGCGGAGAGGATATATCATCATCGTTGTAAATTTATGACATCAGTCACTGTAAAATTCCGATCATGGTTGAGTTTTTTATTCTTCACGCCATATCTAAGTATTGTAGCAACTAGAAATTTTCTGTGATGAAACTTTGCTCTGTGAAGTTTTGTCTGGAAACTTATTTAACGAATCGGACTGATTCGTTAAATAAGGACTGTACGGACTGTATGTAATAATAGAAATCAAAAAAAAAAAAAAAAACTTGTGGAGGAGGATATTGAGTAGGGGCTGGTGAAAAAAATATTTTTTCTCATTACTTAGATCAAATTCATGATTGTGTGAAAAAATTTCATTAGTATTTTGTTTGACTGGTTCTACAATGGACGTGGAAAGAATTTGTCACTTTCCTATCTTCAAAAAAAATATTCCTTGCAGTCCATATGAACTGTGGATCAGGAGTCACATGGCGAGTGGAAAAAGGCAGGAAAGAGGACTTCGCAAAAGTCTTGGTCATTGTCAGCCATGATGAAAATCTATCAAACGGTGAAAATCATTTGAGAAAACTTGTGAGAAAATAGCATACCTATCTTTATCCTTGATGTCAGTGTTACGGATTATGCTATTTGCCAGAGAACATATCAAGTGGTTATAACCTTGCTCCACATTTCTTCCTTCCATGACTACAGGAATTTTGGCAAATCCTTGGATAAAAGAGTACTCGGTATAAAGCCACGATAGAGCGATGTCTATTCTTGATCGCAGGTCAGCCAGCAAGTACTCTAAGACAGCTGCAATAAAGAAATGGATTGGAAAATTAGGGCAATCTACTGCAGTGAATATTCTTAAGTGTCCCTCCCAACCTTCAAACCTTTTCTGCCTTACGAAATATCAACCAAGAAAGACCACCATCAGACCCCCTGAAAATTCTTCTGCAGATGTTAATATCCAAATCACGCCTTCAAAACCTTGAAGATATGGTTCTTACCTTCAAAATTAAAAAAAAGTTTTTTTTTGTTCCTGCATTAAATGACTTGATTTGCTTCCGTCCTGCTTTTTACCCTCTTTGGGCTATTAGACCACTTGTTGAGGATTTTTCCAGATCTTGTTCATTTAATTCTGTTTTAGATCGTTTTAAAAAATCCTGGTATATCCTATTCAGCAGAAGTGAATCATGAGGATGTAACCATTTATAAACACTCTATGAAGGACCTGATCCTTTCTTTTAATTGAAGCTCTTAAGTTTCTAGTTTCCATCTCATTTTGCGGTTCTGATTATTGATGTCACCCTTTGTTTGAATATTGTTTTTAATCTTTCACTCCTGTCATGGCGCTGTTATATATCTTAAATTCTTTGTATATCCTGTTTAAGAATAAATAAATTCATGAATAATTCTTACCTTCCTTCACTGTATCATTGAACGTTGATGCAAGCGTTGTGATGAGCTTCAGTCTCTGTTTGTTGACACCTCCTAATCTAGCGACCTTCTCGCTCTCCAAAATTCGTACGACTGCTTTCACCATTTGGTCTTTCTGAGCATAAGATGATAACGGCTTCACCACTTCAGTTAGTTTCAAAGACATTATCCGATGTGGTTTGTGGGTCAGCGGTTTTGTTATTTTGATTGGGGGCGGAGCAGGCACTGGAACCGGGATCGACGCAGGTTCTTCCTTCGCCGTTATCACAGTTTTGATCTTGCGTTCTTCCCCTTCTTCGTACTCATCCTCGTCAGGTTTCTCACTGATTATTTTCTGAATCTGAACGGAATCACAAAAAAGAAAAGATTGAGTAAAGTATTTTGTAGGATTAATGCTAAGAAGAAAAAAATATTTGTTGAGCAACATAAACGTTTTCAGATTATTTTTTCGTCTCTTATTCCACGATATTAAAAGAAAAAAAGAGAGGAAAAAAAAGAAGAAAAAAAGGAGGAAAAAATGGCTTGTGGGAGTAAACATGTTTTATTTATGATGTCATGTCAACATAATTGTCTTCAAACATTTATGGTTTCATGGAAAGAAACAAGTCGTAAAAATTGAAGAGAAAAAAGAATAGATTCAATATCAGTACACACCTACCAATGCCTATTAATGAGCTAAATCATAATGAGCCAAGAGGCTAAAACGATTCAAAGAGTGACTCTTCAATACATACACTTACCTAAATATTTCAAATCAAATTTCAAGATCCAAAAGAGGCACCTGAAAGATGAGGTGGCAAAGTCTCAGCTCCAAAAAAAAGATGGTAAAGCTGTGAGTTATTCACCGATGAATGCAAGATACTTTTAAAAAAGGGTTTAGAGAAAAGAGAAAAGTAATACCAAAAAAATTGTGCAGCATGCAGAGTGAAATATATTTAAAAACTTAGCTGATGTGTTTTTGTCTCACCTGTCAAGCTTGTTTTCCAAATGAAAAATTTCAAAGAATTTCATCACGTCAATCATCATCATTTACACCTCTTGAACCGTTAAGGTTTTCCTTTTCAATATTTCTCATGACAAAAATAAAACTAAAAACTTTCTTGCAAAGCAAAGGAGAGAGAAATTTGAGGGACTTCGCAACTTAGAAATTTGGACCTAAAACACACTGGGGGATACTAAAAAAGTCAAAACCAATTCCTTACCTTTAAGGTAGTAAATTTAAACTATATTTCACAAAAAACAACTTTGGAGAAAAGACGTTACATATCATTGGAACACAAGATTAATAGAAAATAAAAAACTAGGAAATCAAAAACTCGAAATAACATAATTTTAGGCCCTTGAATTAGATTGTATAAGAAAGAAAAAAATTAAAGGCACACACGATCATTCTTAGGAAAAGGTAACTCAAATAACAGAGTGTTCATCAAACTTAAAAGTACAGTAGGGTAAAAATTAAGACATTCAACATGAGAAAAAAAGAGGCAAAATAACTCTTGGTAAAGACATACACAATATAAAGTATACTAGAATCCCTGAGTTAAACAAGTCACAAAATAAAATTGAGAAATCTCGAGATCAAAAGAAAACTGGTGTCATGCTATCTACTGAGAGCCACCATGATCTTGATGTCCTCGGGCGATCTGGCAATGAGTGCAAAGACATGGAGCTGAGGAAGAGACATCACTGGCTGTGGGAGATGAAAGGGGCGAATGATGAGGGCTCGGAATATTCTGCTGGGGTAAAACAAAGAAAGGGACGAACTGCACAAATGGGGAATGGGCAAAGGATTGGAGTGAAGCTAAAAAATCAGGCCTATAGACTGGGAACTGCGGAACTTGAGGAGGGACAGAGTTCCCATGAGGAGATGAAGAGAGGGTTTCAGTGAGCGGAGCTGTCATCGCATATGTCATAGAGGAAAGATCTGGTGTATATCTAAACCCTTGCGGTATGACGTTGCTTTGCATACATGGCATCATGTTTTGAGCCACTGCTCCACTGGCTTGAGCAGAGTCTGAGCTTTCACCTGGAGGCAAATTGCCTCTTGATGAAGGGATGTTAGGGGGAGGTTGGGTAAAAGAGGAGTCCATGAGAGAGCGGACTCTCCAGACAGGAGGTTCTGAATACAAATTAGAGGTTGGTTGTATTGATGGCACATACATAGCATGTTCACTTGGAGGCAAATTAGCTCTAAATGAAGGAATAGTAGGGGGAGGTTGAGTAAGAGAGGAGTCCATGAGAGAATGGACTCTCGAGACAGGGGGTTCTGAATACAAATTAGAGGGTGGTTGCGTAGATGGCACATACATGGCATGTTCACTTGGAGGCAAATTAGCTCTAAATGAAGGAATAGTAGGGGGAGGTTGAGTAAGAGAGGAGTCCATGAGAGAATGGACTCTCGAGACAGGGGGTTCTGAATACAAATTAGAGGGTGGTTGCGTCGATGGCACATACATGGCATGTTCATTTGGAGGCAAATTAGCTCTAAATGAAGGAATATTAGGGGGAGGTTGAGTAAAAGAGGAGTCCATGAGAGAATGGACTCTCGAGACAGGGGGTTCTGAATACAAATTAGAGGGTGGTTGCGTAGATGGCACATACATAGCATGTTCACTTGGAGGCAAATTAGCTCTAAATGAAGGGATATTAGGGGGAGGTTGAGTAAAAGAGGAGTCCATGAGAGAGTGGACTCTTGAGACAGGAGGCTCTACACGAGCTGAGGACAAGGGCGGATTGGAATTAGTTGAGGTCAACAGAGTTGAAACGTTTGAAGAAGTAGTTGAGGAGGAAGATGGCTGCGTTGAGAAAGAAGATTTAGTGGTGAGTGGAGCAACTCCAGGGACATCAGCTTTAACTTGTGATAAAAGCATCATCAAAGGCGTTTGGGACACAGGAGGTAGAGCTTCAGATTGGGTAGCTACCTGAATCGGGGGAGCCATTGTCTGTGGTGTAACTGCCGAGACAGAAATACTATCAGCCGCCACAGACATAGTGGAAAGAGAGTGAGCAGTAACTGATGGAACTTGCGATAAAAGAGAGGTATGTTCAAATAAACGTGGGTACGATGGATGGGCATGGTGATACACCAGGGAAGTTTCACAGGGTTCAGTAGAGGCTACCGAAATTAACGATGACACTCTCTCTGCAGAAACACATGCTCGAGATGCAGAAACAGAGGTCTGAGGTGAAGTGAAAATGCTGGCAGGCGCAGTGCTATTGACTAAATAGGAGATATTAGCATGAGATGAAGATGATTCTTGTGAGGTTGAGGAGGCTGGGATAAGATGTTCAGGGCTATTTTCACTTTGCAATTTAATGGTACGAATAAGGCTATCAAAGATGTTTTGAGGTTCAGAGTGAAAAGGCATCTCAATTGGTGGAGTTTCCGCAAAGGTAACTTTAACTTGGGTTGAAAATGACGATGGTTGGGATGAGTTGGCAGGACAGAAATTATCATGAGTTTCCTTCAGAGGGTCAACTGGTGCAGCAGAAACCTGAGAATATTTCAGGTTTTTAGATTGTTTAATGGTTTGATGTTCAGAGGAGCTACTTGATTCAGTATGAGTAGATCGAGGCTTTGGTATTGAGGCTTGAATCTCAATTGCAGGGACGGGCAGTTTGGAAGTGCATGCTTTCTGTGATAGAGGGTCCGCAGCTTCGGTTGCCGAGATAGTACTGACTGATGATTTAGGGGTTAATCTCACAGAGGAGGAAGAGAAAGAGGTTTGATTCATGGTAGCAACTAAGGACTTTGAAGTGCTTAACTCTTGTGACAATGAAATTTTAGTGTTTGAAGCTGGGGTTTGAATATCAGAACCAGTATCTGAGCACTTGGACATTAAGTGTGAGACTTGAGTCTTTGAGGCATTGACTTGAATCTTAGGGTTGGAAACTGAAGTTTTAGATGAGTGAACCTCGTGAGCAAGAGAGACTTGAACCACTGAAGCTGAAGTTTTAGTAGCTACCAAGGACTCTGACGTACAAGGGGGCTGAGAGGAAGACACTTCATTTATGAGATTTGCAGTCTTCTTTGTCTTTGAGACCAAGGAAGAAGAATTTGATACTGAAATATGATTCTTCAAGGGAGACTTGGAATTGTTTGCCACAGCTTTTGGGTTTGGTTGTAAAGGGAGTTGCGATACTTGAGATCCATTCTCAGTTTTCGGCTTAGGATCCTTCTCAACACAAGAAGGGATATAATATCCCGGATGCAAAAGAGAATGATGCCTCCCACCACAAAATTTACAGCCCTTGGCAGATCTGCACTCCCACCACTGGTGGCGCCCGAGGCAATTGCCGCACCTGTCAGCGCGTCTCACCACCTCGAGGCGCTCATCCAGTGGTAAGCTCAAATAAGGACACTCAAAACAAATATGATCTCCCTCACAAAAGATGCAACTGCGGGCTGTGCGCTGTTTGCTCTTTTCATCTTTGGGATTGGATTTGGATGAGGACTGCTGCGACTTCATGGAGAAATTTTGAGGAATAGGAGAGGATGACAAACGAGTGTTTTTTCTTGGGGAGGGCTTGGAGTTTGATATGGTGAGGCCTGGTTGAGAAGGGCTAACCAACCTAGAGCGAAAGACAGACAGAGAGCTCTTCTTACTCTTACCCCCTTCACTATCTCTCTCTTCGAATTTTTCTTCAGAAGAAGGTGCAGGCAACTGTGATGGAGAATACTGTGAGGTACTAGAGAGCTCAGGGAAGGAAGGAACAGAGGAGAAAAACGGAGTGGACACTGAGACAGAAGGAACTGGCAAAGAAACACGAGGCAGGGCGGCAGTCGATTCAGAGGCCAAACAGGGGATCTTAGAGTTAGTTTCTGAGGAAATAACAGCAGGAGTAGAACTACGGCTCCGAGAAACACAAGGCTGGGCGGCAGAGGCAGTCGTATCAGAGGCTAAACAGGGGAGCTTAGATGCAGTTTCTGAGGAAACAACAGCAAGTGTAGAACTGCAGCCAAGTGCAGGAGAGAGCAGACGAGGAGGAGAAGCGGGGGGACTGAGAGATCCATCAAGAGAGGAACAAGAAAGCGAGAAAGGAAGTGAGATAGAACTGGTTGGTGAGGAGGACTCTAAAGAAATGACCGGTGGAGAAGGTAAGGGGATGATTTCGAGAGAAGAAGAGGGTGAAAGGGAAGCTGGAGGCGAAGCAGAAAGGGCAGCATGAAAGCTCGTTGCTTTTGGCGTGTCACTGCAATCGTAGCTATCATGGTTTGATGAGAAAATCATGTCAAGCATCTGTAACAATCAAGCGGACCAGAAAAGTCACAACATGGTTCCTGAGTATCAAGCGATTTAATCTGGATGGCTGAGAATATGAGAAATAGTAATGTTAGAGTGAGACAAACAATTGAGCGTGTAAAGACAAACTCAACGAGAAAAGAACACATTGTTAATTTTGGATATACAACACTGCTTCAACTTAATCCATTGATAGACGGTACTTCTGAATGCTTTCAAGCATTATTATAATATTCCATCAATGCTTTCAAGCATTAATAGAAAATAGGTAGAAAACTGCAAAATAATGGCCATCGGAACTTTTTAGTACCACTAATGAGATGATAAAAAAAAATTATTCTGCTAGGTAAAAGCACTACACAATATTGATGACTACCGAGCAAAATGTAAAATCATTTTCTGGTCGACAATACTTCTGAGTTTCACAGTTTTGAACTCTTATAAAATACAATAGCTGCTAATTAGTGATTCTAGACTGTCGGTACTTTTTAGTATCACAACAGAGATATTCAAAAGATATATTTTGCTAGGTAAATGTGCTCTAAAGGCCTTAAATAACAATGACTTTACCATTGAACTAGGGGTCTATCCTTACGTTGAACAAAAACTCTTAAATGCAACTGACGAACCTACATAAGAGAATGCAGAAAAAAATTGTCTTCTAATTTTTCTATGGGACGGCCGTTTGTCATAGTTTCAACGGTTTTTAGGCACAAATTTTGATTCTTACAAAGACAGGAAAAGATTATATGACAGCTGATTGAAATTTAAACTGAAAAAAACCATGCGAAAATGAATTAAATCATGAGGTACTGTGTGCAAAGGGTTTGCATACTGCATAGTTTATTTTGATTTCATTCATGTTAACATACTTCATTTAAGCATACATACGTCTAATTAACCACTAGCATGAGCAACTTTATGATGACTTTTACATTAAAAAAATATATAAATAACTAAATGAATTACATCAATTTTATCATTTAGAATATTACTGAAAAAAGTGCGAGTACTTGAATAATAATTTCAGTGCTTTAGTTTGACATCAAATTGGTTAAATTATCTTGAAATATGAATGCAAAAAGGTTGCAAACAACATCTAATAGAGAGAAACGGCGATGTACGAAGGACAATGCAGAGAGTGAATAGAAAAAATAAAGCTACACTGCACGGCCAGAGTAGAAGCCAATACAAGCAGTGGCGTAATAACTCCTCTGGACAGTTTAGGTAGCAGGATTTAAAAGGGCAAATAGGGCTAGAGTGAGATGCGCATTCAGTACCAGATAGCAACTAGCTCATTTTTTAATACAGGAGAGGGCAGTGGATATGGGGACCCACAGGCACTGGATTGCTCCCTGGGGTGATGTCATCCCTAGATTACGAGGCTGCCTGTTGCTAGGGTAATATCCCATGAACTGACAGGTGAGCAGATTGAAAGAGAAGGATATCTTTAAATCATGGTGTCTAGAATTCTTGATCATGCTCATTCCCTGATTTTCCCCTGATTTTCAGGGGCTCATTCCCTGATGAAAATTTTGTCCCCGTTTTGCCTGGATTTTTTAGAAAAAACTAAAAATCTCTCCTGACGTTCAGATATGAAAATCAAATTTTTTTAATCTTTCGGCAGGTTCTTCCTTGTAAATTCCAATTTATTAATTCCAAAAGCATTCCTGATGTATATATTATCCGATAAATTAGAGATTCTCTATTATTCTGATGATTCGAAGATTCAAATGTCATTCGAGGGGTCAATAATGGCAGTTCAGATGCGATAACATAAACCTCAATTACAATAGGTGCTTAAAATTTCCTTACCTAAATTTATTTTTGCACATAAACAAACTCGGTATAATACTTTAAACAATATTCGGCAAATTACTATAGGAAAAAGATAACCTGGAGAGAATTCAAATGAAATTAAAGAAAAAAATTTGTCTTAAACCGGTAGAAGAAGTAATTCTTGGTTCCTGGAACAGATTCCTTAATTATCTCCCTTTTTTTAATTCATTCCCTGATGAATCCTGGATTTTCCTATTCTAGTCACCACGCCTTAAATAGTCAGGGCCAGTAGCGGGTGGGAGTCAAAGGAAAGAATTCAGCATTTGACAGACATATCGCTATAGGTCGACCTTGCATGACTGGCTATCTTCTCAGACGCTGGAGCATTGGCTGGTTTGGATGCGTAATATCTGACTATCAGCTGGGCTGTGGCTGAAATCTTGCACCCAGTAACAGGGTACGCCGGATTTATAATTGAACAGGAGTAGAACCCCAGAATAAAGCACATTCTGCTTCCATTTAAACAAAACAAAACAACGAAAAAACATGCAGAAGAGGGATCATGGAACTTATTATCCCTTTCTCATTGCCAGTTATGTTTGGTTTGCGCCCCTCTCCATTGAGATTGAGTCCGATTCCTTCTGGAATTTTTGTGCTTTCTCAGTCTGATTTAAGAGAAAATAGAGTAGTGCATAATGCCTTTTAAAAACATGATTACCTAGCCACTTTTTTTAGACTCTAACTTTAAAATAGAGGATACGACATTGCTACTGCTATGAGAGGCCAACGTTTACACTCGCTTCACCATTCAGCATACCCTAAAATTTACATCAATCTTTAGAGCAAAGCTACCATAGAGTAAAAAAATAAAAATTGAAAAGATACTGGGGAGGGAGAGAAAGCTACAAACAACAATTTTTTGGGATTTCATCAGATTCACACCAGAAGTTTGCAAAAAACTTTAATGCAAATATCATAAGCTGTTTGTGTCAAAAACTTGTCAAAATTTAAAGAAAGTTTTCAAAAAATCTGAGCTTGGAACCTATTTTTGCATGACACCACTTGTATCAGACTCCCTTCATCTGGTTGGACAGACCTTTTCTGTACCATAAAACAGAACATATTTTATGAAAAGCCCCAAACACAAAAAGGAAGCTAGCGCGAGTGCTTGGTGCAAAAGAAACTGGGCTACATTTGGATTCTTCCATTTTGAGATCAATTTTGATTTATATAGACTTAAAACTTTTTTTGGCAAAACCGATTACTTACCTAACCTAACCTAACCTAACCTAACCTAACCTTAACCTAACCTAACCTAACCTAACTCGAGGTTTTGCCAAAAAAAGTTTTAAGTCTATATAATTGTGTGTAGTGCCGATAAAATTTTACAAGTGCAATATGCAACAATTTTGATTTGTTATTGTACGCTTTATTTGTCTCTTGTCATGAGGTCATTCAGTTCTTTCACAGACAATGAGGTTCCACTGGTTGTGCCATCTTCTTCATTTATGCTCAGGTATTAGTACTGCCCAAATTCCCAGATAAAAAAATTCTGCGTTGAATTAAACCACACCAAAAGCTTGCATATGTATATACTACAAAGGTGAAGAGACAAAAACCAAACTTTGAAATTTTAATAAAAACGATAAAAAGACTACAATAGACTAACACCGTGCAAGAAGTTAGCAAGAAATGATATCAAACTTTGTGGTAACAAAACGATCTCTTTATTTACACTTATTGCACATTAATTCTAACGTAAATATAGTACGAAATTAATTTTGGAAATACGAGCGGGTAAGATACTAATCAATGCGTCTAGAATGGAGTCCGAGGGGTCTAGATTTTTGTTTCCATTTTGAATGGCAGTTGAGAGTTGAAAAACGGGAGGGTCATGGAAAAGGATAATAAAATATGAAAATTAGAGGGAGATAACATTTCATGCTGCACATTTGGACACATGGAAAACTTTCAAATTGAACTCGTAAGTGAGGAATAAACATTTGTGGTTTATATCACAAATATTAGATTCAAACTTTCCACTCGTAAAAAAACCGTATTCAAGGAAGGCTAATTTTTTCACTGGACAAATAACTATGGCTTGATTTTACACACTGTCTCTTCCTCTTTTCATACAAGGTACCTTTAACCTTGTCAAAAAATAGGTGGTGCGCAGGTAAATTCTCCTATCGTAAAATATACCGAAATTACTTAAGTGCTTGATTTAACATGAGTAGATTCTGAAGCAGGAAATATGAATTAATGTGGACAAAAAGCCTTATTTTTTACCTCATGAGTTGATTTGGTAAGTTTTAATAATGAGTCTATCATAATCTACATTAAATTTTGATAGGGAAAGATGTATGGTAGTTCTTGATATTTTATCCTGTCTAGCAGTCCATTTTAGCCGTTCTAATGTACGTCAGTACTATAAGAAGATTTCAGATTTTTGTTAAAAGTTGGACATTTCCTCAATTTACCTGACATTGTTGGCAATCAAGTAATATATTCCTGTTGACTAGCATTTCATCCCAAGACAGACCATGTACAATATGAAAAATTTTTTGATTAATGAAAGATCAGTTACTAACAACGTTCACTAAAAAATCTTGTTTTCCATTCATTTACAAGAGCTGATTAACACCGAATAGTCAATGATAATCCCACTGTCACCCAAAAAACTGGAACCAAGCATTCAAACACACCCCAGGTGAAAAGTGTATGGAGAAAAATCAGAGAAATTACCAACCACTGAGGCATTGTCAAACCTGCATGACAGTACCAAGCGTAAAAGCGACACTCCATGCAATCCACTACTATATCTTACCTTTGGAAAATACTGAACTTGAAACTTGATTTGAAATATTTATGCCTTTCGATAGACGACAGACAGAAGTGTTTTTGAATCACTCTAAATCAATGAAACCTAAATAACCAAACAGCTCAGAGATATAGTAAAAGCATAAAAGAACTTTTTCACCTTATTGTCACTTATTCAAGAATTTGAATGCGAGAGGGAACTCATTAGAAAGTTTATGATAAACTCAAGGAGAATTCTGTTTCTGATCGATGACTGATTCAAATCAAACTCCTTGTGATTCAAATTACAGTTAGTTTAGTACATAAATTATTTTTGGTTACGATAAAAAATCTGAATTAATAAATATAAAGAGCTAAAACTTAAGTTTAAACTGCAGGTCATCTTTTTAGGGTGTATTTCTGCTGCGTATTTTTCATTGGAAAAAATGACACCATGAAAGAAAATTAAAGAAAATCAAAATTGGATTCAAGTAAAAGGGGACTTACCTGTTTTTTGTTGAGCTCAATTTGTCCTGTGCCTAGTCCTGCAGTGCTGATTTGTGTTGCCAAAAGTCGAGCAACATGTTTGATCTGCTGCGGAGTTCCTGCAGCTGCAATGGGTGTGTAGGTAGCGCTGAAAAGAGGTGGCATGACCTCTGGAAGTTTTGTCTGGAAAGGTAAAAAAGAAACGTAAATCTTGATTAGATACTATTTAGGAATCATATTTATTTTAAGCAAGAGCATAGAGAAACTATGTAGAAGCTTCGCTTCAACTACAGGTCATCAAAACTTTTATTGAAGTGAGCTTGGTAGGGAATGAAAACTAATTATCAATTTCTAACTCCTGAACACACAAAGTTAAAAAAGGACATTCCAAAGTTCTGCTATGCTTATATTTGTTAAAGGAACAGCAATTCATTAATTACTCTTCAATTTTTTTCCTTATATTTTTTTATCCGAAGTATTCAAAATTGAGATATCAGTACCACAACATAGAGGATTGTTTCATAAAAATGTTGGCACAAAACAAGCCTGAACATGTAAAATGAAAACGGAGTTGCGAAGTTTGCATAAGAAAAAAACGCAGTTTGGAGCAATAATTCAAAGTAATTTTTGACCTGACATATTACATCATCTCCAGCACAAAGGAATGTGCCTTGACTGTATGTTTCAGTATTTATACAAATATTTTCTTTTTTCATGGGTGAACTATTGCACGAATCTTTCTGAGGAATATAGTGTCTTTTCTCTTAAAAAAGAAGACAATTTCAGGAAAATTCAAGTGAAGATTCTACTAAAAAGAGTAAAAAGTCAGGAAGAAATACTGCGACAGCACATTCAAGGTACAATCTTTCATGCAGAAGGCGACAATTTGAACCTTAAAATGGAGAATTCGCATGCCAGTTTTTTATTGCTCCATCTGAAAGTGCCTAAAGAGCTGATTTCACAGTATTTTTTATAATTTTTTCCTGATGTGGGAAAGAGTATAAAAATAAATTTAAAAGTGAGGAAATGCACCGACTAGTGACATGATCTAGCGGCATTTCCCATTTAAACACACGTATTTTAGCAGATTAGATCATTTTGTCATATCTTCTCCAATAATTGTTCAATTCATGAACCAAGGATATCCTCGTGTTCAGTTCACTCGGTAGTTTCTACTTAAACACGAAATTTATCAAATTTCAGACACCTGCAAATTCACTATTGTATGGTTATGATCAGTGACGTGGCGCGCTTTGTGATATATCGATTGATCAGCCACTTAAACTAATGGAAAAGGATCCATAAACAGGGTGTTCGCAACGATCACCTAAATATCGATAATCGATCATTCATGCCTCGCCACTGGTTATGACATACACCCTTGTTTGGCACATAATGAACTAAAGTACTCGCAATTAAATTAAAATACAGCTTATCACAGAGTGTCCAAGAATATCAAGTAACTCAGTCTAGACGTATTCTCATCAATCCATGAGGGAGAAAAGTAACAGAGAAAAAGAAAAGGGGGAGAGGGGGGTTAGCAGATAGACAATATGTCAGGTTACTGCAATATCACTCCGAAATGACGCAGAAACGAAACCTAACTGGAGTTCCTGAAATTTAGAATAATTACATTTGTTATTTGAGGATGTAAAATTTAATGAAAGGTTAGGCGGGAACTCAGCAACAATGAGGACTAGCAACAAACTGATTAGCACACATAGATAAAACTTAAAATTACTAAAGTTAGCTCTCTCCAACTTGACTCACTCAAAATACTCTCGGAGGACAGATACAAGCAAGTTTTCCTCATTGAGAACTGAAATCCGTACTTTCCATCTCAACTTGATGGACTTTGTTCTCTAGAAAATTGACCTCTGTCTACTAGGGTCCCTTCTCCGCATATAGACAGGAATAAATATTGAAGAATTGGAAGATGACTTGCACTGAAAATAGTAAATTTTGCGCTTCTGTCCTTTACATATACTTTAGTAATCTAGTTGTGGCAATCATAGGGTGACCACTCCTCTGGTTTCATTAACAAATGTTCAGTAACTATCCAGAATAGTTATCATTTGTCCCATCCATTTGATAAAAATTCCTTTGAATTTTTGTCTACTTACAAGTGAGACTGCAACTAATTCTGCAGCAATCTGAGGCGTCAAACGGCTCAAAATCCAAGCTTCCATACTGTCCAGCGTTGACTCGGTGGAGGGTTGAGAATTTTCCTCCTGAACAGGAGTTGTTTCTATTTTCATCTTTTTGGGAGGAGCACCAGTCCCGTTGTTTGAAATGATTTCCTGGGTGCGTTTCATGCTCATCCTTTTTCGGAGATCCTCCGGACTTGGGTACGCTTTCATGACCTGAAAAAAGGGATGTGTCATCAACATGTTGGATACTTGGAAGCAGATTTTTGGAAATTTTGATTTGCTTCAACAACGGTCAGTTCGGTCTGTATGATTCCTAGCAGCGAGAACGCAATAGTAATCTCATTGTGAAAAAAACGCTGTTTTAATTGGACTGATTTTTTTTTTTACATGACAGGCTCATCAGTTGTTTTTTTTTTTTAGAAATGTGCAAGGATATTTCTTGTGTGTATGAAGAATATTTTATTATAATTTTATTTATATTTTTAAAGGTTATATTTCTTTCCTTTATTGTTTTAATGTTCAATCACTATGTCCTAGTGACTGGTTACGATGCTACTAAATACTGACTTTACCTATACTCATACCATCACTATTTTGCCTGCTGTGCATCGCAGAAAAATATTCATAGCGCTGTCTATCAGGCAATTGGGCAAACTCGACCAAAGCAATAGCCTATCAACCGCGCAAGCTAACTCCTCTATGCACAGTTATCTCAGGACGGTGCTGATATTGTTTTTTTACTGACAAGAATGGGTTAAACCAATAAATACAGGAATAGTTGCTCAGTTAAAAGTGGAAATAATAAACGGCATTACCTCATTGCAAGTTGCTCCAAGATCTGTTAGTAGGGTAGTGATGTTCCCATGGAAATCTACGGATGCTGGATGCTTTAAAAGACTTAGCAGTTGAATTTTCAGATGTTTGCGGACTGATGAAACTTGGGTTTTGAACAAAGTTGGAGGCAAATTGGCTAAAAGAAATCACAAAAAAATGTTAGAACTGTAATAAATATCAGTCATAACAAAAATTGTTTGATGAACACGAGAGTCCAATAAAATACATGACTATACTGTCCTTGCGAATAAAACACTTCCTTCACTTTGAAAACTTACACTAATTTATTTTTTAGAGAGGCGAGGCAGAGACTTGTAGACATTTTGTCCAATGGAGTTTCCCAAAAAATGTTGCGATTGCAATCTCAATTTGTAATTTAATAAGAGCTTTGCACCATTGCAATTTGATATCCTAATCTAATCAGGAAGGTTTAAAAAATTCTTTGAGGTCAAAAGAAAAATAGAGAAGAAAGCTACGAACTAAATTGAATCAGTCATTCTCAAAAAGACTTAAGCGCCAAAATTAAAGTACAAGAAAAACACACAGAAGTTTGAATAGACTTCATCCAAATCTTGTAGCTCCGGGGGTTTAAAGTATTTAATTAATTAATTACATTACTTACCTAATCTTAGATTTAAAAAAGAGCCAATTAATACAGTTTTTCCTGTTTTCCTTGCATTTTCATTTTTGGTGCTTAAGTCTTTTTAAGAATTAGAATACTCTCAGGATTTCATGATCCTTTTTTCAAATCCATTTGTAAAGATCTTGTTTTCCAACAAATATTGAAATATTTGCCACTTTGCAGCAATTTATTAGGAGAGGATATCCAAGGATGCCAAGTGAGGACGGAGAAAACATTTTTTCAGCACCCCTGTGATTTCCTGTGTCGGTGTAAAATGCAGTATGATAAATCAGGAGTAGAGTCAACTCAACTAAAGAGTCCTCCACAAATTTTTGAAATATCATTAGTCTTCCTTTTGATCGATATTGAATGAGCTAAGTTACCTACTATCCAAGACGTAACTTATATAGATTAAGAGACAAACAGTTAGGATATAAATGGACAGAAAGGATACTTACTGTGTAGAGTTTCCAAAGCAGCGACGACTTTGCCCATGTACTGAGGTCTTGATTTTGCTATGTTCGTCAGAGAACCCATACATGTCATAAGATTATTACTACTGATGTGTGAGGATCCATGAAATTTCACCAGTAGGTCAAACACAACGCTGTGGATAAAAAATGAAAAAAATATTGAGAGATAACAAAATTTAGCTGAGACCATTGGAGAAATAAAAAACCTCTGTGTATGGTGGCAAATTTTACAAGATCAGTAGAAGTTTTTGTCAGGCTGAATTTGAATATTGGGATTTCAGATTTGCTGGAAGAACACTTTTTCTCGATCCGAAAAATAATTTACAAGGGATTGCCAGCAAAGTTACGATTCCCCTTAAGTAAACTGATTTCATTAAAAAGAATGTAAGAACTGTAGCAATTCAAAATTCATGTTCTCTATTAAACTCTATGTAAAAGCGATAGTCCAGTGTAGGCTGGACAAGACCCTCAGCAAAAAGTCAAATACTGTATCTGCGAGGTGATTGTTGAAAGCACAGATGTGAATCAATTGAGAAATTAGTCTTGACACTTACTTGGCCTCTTCTTCCAACTTTCTCCGCCGAATGACTTTCAGCGTGAGAGGTATATCCTCTAGTGAAAAATCGTTAGGCTTCTTTGGAGCATCAGCATCGGGATAAGACTGCAGCAATATTATAGTTTCTAGAAATTTGACTGTGTGCGTACGAATACTGGAAAAATACAAACAATTTTTTGAGTACTGATTTTAATACTGAATTAAAAGCTTCCTTAGAGATCTACTTTTAAAATTGTTGGCCTAAAAAATTGATGCTTGGTGAGAAATTGCTGGTCTTTCAAAGCAGATTTTGTTCAATATTTTGCATGAATAGTCACTGTAGAAGGCCTCGAGGTTGAACCACTGTTAAACAATAAATTCAAAAGGTTTAGGGTCCCCCTGCGTCCCACCTGCGATCCAAATTATTCGGATTCCCCTTGGTCCATTGACCAGATAAACAATTTCGAAGCCTCTACATTAATTCAGCAACCTGGTACTTTGTGGCTTTCGGGGTCAGTATTTTGAACTTCTTAGTGTCATAAAGGTTGAAATTTTTCGTCCTTTATGATTTTGATGGAATGCTTTCAAAATTATGCCAGGAATCTTAAACTTTAAAACCAGGACACCCCCCCCCCCTTTTACTCAACAATGACTCTATATTCTTAGAGGTTTGTGATAGAGGGTAAGCTAGGAGAACAGCTCAAAAAAAACTTTAAGAATTACCAACCCATCGTTATCACTATCGACTAAGTCAATGATTAGCGCTTTCAAATTCGTCAGCTTGTTCCAGAGCGACTGTAAGTCATTGTTAGACTGTCCTGATTCTGCGATTAGTGCCAAAGCGCACCGATAGATTGTGCTTGAGGCTTGGATCACACGTTTCTGGACATGCACTGAGGGATCGTGTATTAATGTCAGAACATTAATCATGATTTTCGGGATGATGTCCTTATCCTTCTTACTGTAAATAACAAAAAAAAAATATGTTGAATGAGGAATTTACACTTGCTTATATTAAATATTAAACTATAGAGAGAAAGAAAAATCAGCTTGTAAAACCTTTGCTACTCAATGGTACTTTTCTATCACCCTCTCTCTGTTTTCCCCCTTTGAATTCCATACAGTTAAGAATCAGACACCTGCTGAAAAGGTTTATTAAATTTGCAAGTATTTTTGCTCATGCCATAAATTTTGCAGGTTCAATGACAATAATGCAGTGCTCTGTGAGTGATTTTGTTCAACATAATTCAGTTTTCCGATGAGAAAGAACTTTGGAGAAATATCTTGAGTGACAAACGAGGAAAAACCACTTTGATTTTTCTGCAAGACTAGTTGGACCGCGTTAGACAGAAAAGAACCAAGCCACATCAGCTATTGCCAAATTTAACAGGGGAATTTGATTTTTTACGAGAGAACGTTTATACGGATTCCCTTGAAAATTTTAAGGAGTTTGCTTTGTATTATGGAGAAAATTCATAGAGATTTGCACAAAAATCCGCACAACCGTTTTTATGTAAAAAATTAAATTGCCCGATTTAATTTGGCAATAGCTGATGTGGCTTGGTTCCTTTCTCTTTAACGCGGTCCAGTTTATAAAGGATCATTTCATGTTGTTCATTTTTCTATGAGCACCATCATTTTCCTGCTGATCCAGTTACCACTTATATTATTGAAAAAACCGAGTTGCATGAAAAAAGGTACAAGCAGTTTTTTAACTCTCTTAAAGAATAAAAATCAAATCTTCCCTGGAGACACAGAACTGAAAAAGTTAAGATAAACAAAAAATACAACCATTAAATGACCAAACTGCAGGAGCGTATTTTAAGGGTTGAAATAAGACTTCTTTCTGCTGTGCATTTTTTCCCCAGAAGTGTCCCCAGTTGAAGCAGCGGCATCCCAAATTTTTAGAAAAAACTTCATGAAAGAGGTTTTAAATGCTTACCATGCTTCTTCGATGAAAGCTACGACAAATTTTCTAACTTCTATGCTGCGATCAGTCTGAAATGCAAGCATTTCATCAAGGAAATTGTCTAGCTGATTGGCCTCTGCTCGTAAGATGAGATCCCGAACTTTAGTAAGCTGTTCTACCTTGTCGTACTCTGAAGAGGCAGTAGTTGCCTCATTGAGCCATTCAACAATCTGAAAGTTTAAAAAATAAATTTAGCACACTGTTTTTTCTTGCAATGATTTTAGAAATGTTCTAACCCTATCTGGTTTCCTGTTAATCACTTAATTTTTTGACAAATTAGGCTGATAAATGCTAAACGACACTCTTTGAATACGAACTACCTTCCTTTGAAGATGATTTACAGCCTCCACAAAAGACATAAATTTATTGGGTATGATGCTATGGATGAAATCTAAATTGTCTGATCAAAGCAACTTTATGACTTATGCGTTAGGATTAGGAACTAAACTTCCTCATCTGTGGTTGACATGGGAAGTTTGCATATTATTTCAATTTTCTCACATTCATTCAATTTTCAGTACAACATATTTCTCTACACCTTCTTACATAAAATTCTTAAATTTATTTAATTTTCTGTGATTTCCTCTGTTTTATTTCTTTCCCAAGGTTTGGTTTTCAGCGTTCTGAGAAGCGGCTTCAAAATTTTGTTAATTGTTTTCAAGAAAATTAGTATCTCCTCAAGATTTTACCATCACATTGATTCAACAACTTGTGTTGCAAAAATATCATGGCAGTCTATCAAGCTGTAGTCTTTACATGCCAGTATCAAAGTGTCCACTATATTTCTATGTAAAAAGTTTAAAAGTTTTTATTATTAAATGAGCCCCTGGTCTCCTCCTTTCCATGTAAGGCACTACAAAATCGACTCAAATATTGTCACTTATTTTTTATTGGTAGCTTCACTTATTACTGGTCAAAGTTTCACTTTATTACAGCTGCAGTTCTTAGAAAGGAAACCAATAGGTAGTTTTCATAACCGAAGACCACTGAAATATAGTTTAGGATTCAGGTTTGTTGCTGTTTTTTTAAAGATTTGGCAGTTGGAGGAGGCCAGGTAACTCAAACGAACATGCTGTCTCGTTCATTTATTTGGTATCATAGTCCCGTTTATTACTGTGTTTTAATCATCTGTATGTGGTTCAGGCTGTCATAGCATATCACTAGTGAAACTGCAAACATGCATATTTCAGTTGCAGTGTTTGAAAATCTCTGCTCCAATTTAACTTCTTAGCAGGAAATTGAACCAGCTACATAGCTTGAAATTTTCACAGAATACCTTCCTTACAGAGAAGAAAAATCACTCAAGTTTTCAAGAAATGACGTTTAGTAGTTTTTCATGTACAAGATAAAGAAAGACAGAAAGTCTGCAATGCTCCAATCCCAGATGCACATTCCTGCAGTTTCACCATCAATAAGTCTTCTTAATAGGAGAATAGAGACCCACTGATGATGAAACTGTGAAATCATACGACTCAGTATACACTGTTAAAATGTTTTTAATTGTATTGTACTTCTCTAAAGGATGACTGATCATCACATTTCAAAACAAGTTGGGTCTTTTTTCAGTAGTTCATCATGGTTCCATGAAAAAGCTACTCATCTGCCAAAGGGAGCAATTTCACAAGTTTAGTGGTAGGACCTTGAGAGTAGACGTCTACCTGTCCCTTAAAGGATGTCTATTTATCTCTGCTCACAATCCAACAGGATCAAAATGTGTATGATCAAACTCTGGAAATATGTTGATCAACCTACGAAGTTGCAATATTTTTTTCTATAGGCTCATCATTTTCCAGATATGTATTTATATTTACTTTGTTACAACTTGTCTTAACTAATCAAAGAATGATGGGCAATTTTTACATGGTTTATTTCATATTTCATTGAATAGTTTAATGCCCATTGACTTCTAAATCCTTTTTAAAGTATTTTTAACTAGTCTAGTCTTTTGATTTCATATAAATGTAATCCACTTCAGTTTCAAAATAATTATAAGTAATTATTTAAGCTCAAAAAATAGGCACAAAATTATTTTAAAACTGAAGTGGATTGCATTGCAAATCAATGAGTTCGGTTAGTTAAAAATACTATAAAAGAGGACTCGGAAGTAAATGGGAATAAAATTATTCAATTAAGGAAATATCTGATTAAAATATAAATCTGATTGATGTCATTCCTTGCAAAGAACCTGTCAAAAAGGGCCTTCTGGTGTCCCTTCTTTGGGGCACTCAGAAATTTTGTTAAAATGAGCTTTAAATGAAACCGAATGATAAGACAATCTTCCACTCAAAGCTTTAGCTTCAATTCAGATCTTGGTTTGGCAATACAACATTGCTACGTTTGCATTTTGTACCATTGAAATATGAAGAAATTCTGAAGTTTCTTGGTTGAAGAAACGGCATTAGATGATCTCATTTTAGTTGCTGAGGCACAGAGGCATCGACTAATAATAATATTTTCAGTCGAGGAACTTCAAAATATTAAATTAATGGTAAAAGATGTAAGCATTGTAATGCTGTATTGCCTAAACAAGCTTTGAACTCTGAATAAAAGTTTCGGTGGGGGATTCGCTTATCATGAGGTTTTCTTGAGGTCACATTTGAATGAAAGCTCTGAGTTTTCCCAAAATGGCGAACTTTTTCGATAGGCTCTGTTTGGACTGTTGCAAACTTCTACCCACACCTCATTTATAATCACAATGGTGTTATGTAATTTCTCAAATATTTCTGTGATTTTTTCCCCCTCTGTCAGCAGTATTTGGTTGGTATTCACAAAACTAAATTGGGCTGGTTTCCCTTCAATAAAACAAAATTGGAGCAAGAGTTTTGAAACTCCGCAGTCAAAGCGCGTCAGTTTTGAGTATGGTCATCAATATAGTTCAAGCTTATTCTTGAAGGAGATGAGATCCTATTTCGCGAGCCAATCCTTTGGTGTAGCAACATGGTTGACAACTCAATTAAGAGTTTTTAAAAATATGGGCATTCCCCCATGGTTGATTTTAAAGTAGTTGGCTTGGCGTATTGCTGGGTACCCAACAGTGCTTACAGTTGAATAAGTGCTCATCTTGATGGTTCTTTAACGTCTCCCTGTCAACGATTCAATTCTGGAATGGTTCATTAACTCCGCCTGACGGAAAAAAGAAAAATCACCTCATTAAGATATAATATAGACGAATACAAGTTACAATACTGCTGTGTTAAGGAGGGACATCGCAGGAGTTTTCAGACGGTGCCATGTTTCCTTGGAACAGACAAATTTTAGGGAAACTTGAGGATATCATTCTTCTCATTTGTCAGAGGATTTTACTTTAAGTTAAATCTAGAGTATCTGAAAATTTAAAAGGAAAATATTTAAAAATTTCTAAAAAATACATGTCTTATCAAGAGACGTTTGGCAATGTCTGGATGTTCATGCGCTGCTCCTCCTCAGCGCAGCAAAATAGATCTCCATCAAATTCATGAGACTAAAATCTTCAGAGTAAACTATGAGTAATAAATCTACCAATTTGTCTCCTAAGGTGATCTAAAAGATTAAGACATTTCCTAAGAAATTCTGCTCAGCCGTTCATGCCAGAACCTACAATCAAAACTATAGACAAAGTTCATCAAAACCATACAAATATAATACCGAACATCAATCAAAAATGCCGCATCTATTAAACAAGTTTAGAAACATAGTGAATTAAGGGAGGGAGGGGGGAAGGAAGTGAGGGGTATAGCCTGTCAGTCAAAGACTTGTTGACAGGGGGAGAGGGGGACTTGTTGAAATAAGACTGGAAAATTCTGCTTAGCTGCCAATGTGAGAATTTGCAGTTAGCATGATAATGTTACAGTTAGTTAGACCTTAGTAGTTTTACACTAGACAGTGATCAAAACAAAATCTATGAAACTATTTCAGAAATAGATTGGGAGGGAGGGGTAAGGGGATTTGTATGTGGTGTAATTGGGAGAAACTTGTTGCTGAATGAATGGTAGGAACCTTATGGAGTAGAAATGAGGGCAGGGAGGTAGAGAGCGCTAAAATAAAGTAAGAATAAAATTTCCATCCAACAAAGAGACTGTCATGTGGGCACTTCACTTTAACTGCCATCCTGCCAACAGTTATGATTTAAATTATCCACAGGCCCCTCCAGTAATAAGTTTAGAATAGAGAATTTCCGAGTTTATCCTCATTTCAATGAAAACAGCTGTTTTTCTACAAGCTTACAGGTAATCAATGATAAAAGTTCAGAATATCAACCTTCTCAGTGTTGAGGACTGCACTCACTACTTCAGCCAGCTCATTAAATCCTGAGCATGGGTAGGATGGATGAAAAAGTAACATATAGATTGCGAGACTGATCAATTTTGAATACGGAATCATCAACATGGCAAAATTGGTGATTTAGTATTGTAATTATTCAGCATTTACCTTAAAGAAATATGACTTTCTATAAATGAGAGCTGAAGATAAGTGAAAATTAGGGAGCGCATTACAGTTGTGGACAAAACTGTTTACCACTGACGCTGTAAGTGTAGAAATTAGTACGAGAGAAGTGTGAAATGGATGGAGTTAGACTGAAAAGAAGGTTCCTGCGACAAACGGCGAAGTGCTCCAAAGTGAAACCCTGAGGGACCGTGACAAACAGCTGAGCCCATTACCACCAAAATGAAATCCTACTGCCGCTGCAGTTTACAAGTTTGACAATGATCTGAAGAGGCTAAAACAGAAAAGATTGACATCGTAGAAAAATTTAAGTTTTCATGAAGTTACAGAAATGGAATAGGCTGATAAGAAGGTCGTAACCCCTATACCGCGAGACCGATGCGTCGACTCCGTTTAGAATGCGAGAAAATAATTAAAAATATACTTATTGATACCTAGAAAGAAATGGAAAAAAACTTAAGAAATGCGTCTTGTTCTAGTATTGAGCATTGTGAAAATTGCAGAGTCCAAGCTGAAAAGAAGGATGACAGACTTTCTCCATGATGAAACGATGGCGTGAGGGGGGGCAAATAGGCTTGTTTTGGTTTGGCTTCTTCTTCTTCAATTCTTAAGGTTGTCCGTTGTCGATGTACTTCGGTACTGCAAACCGGTTGATCGCGTGGTTAGGCTTCTTGGAAAATTTGAGAGCTTGCCTGCATGTGCTCTGTCAAATCTCGGTAAGTTTTTCCCATATTTTTACATTATTATAATTCTAAATGCATCTAGCTTTAATTTCCTAAAATCTGAATGGAAAGGGTGTCTTTTCTATTACACATTTAACCGCCCCGACCGATGTAAAAGTGCGGAACCTCTCGGCCGTCATGTGGTCTGGGCATTGTTTTTCTAAACCTCATTTTTACCCTTTCTCGTCGGCAAATCTTAGCTTAGTTTCATCTTTTATGCCGTTCCTCCTATAACTCATGAAGTAATGAAAGTAACAATGATTTGATCCTTGTACTCTGCATTAACTGATGGTAGTAACTTCGAGGTGCCATCTTCAAGCGACACTGCCACCAATCAGCGCAACTTAGGAGAACACACTTGGTTAGTTAATCAGAACATGATAGCCCAAAGCATCTGTAAGTTCAGTTTGCACCGCGGTTAACCTTTCTTTGTTCCAAGAGTTTTTTTTTGCTCCTGAACTCTATCGTATCATCCTTGTGTCTCTGGTACCTGTTATGGCAACTCGGCAATGCTTCTGGAGCTGTGGTTTGATATGTTGAAGAAATCGTCTAAATATTGAAGACAAGTCATCTCAGATTTGCATACAATGCTGGCGGCTGTAACTAATGGCTGTAATACAATGAACTGCAACTGCATGTAACGTAACAAGCATTTCACTACGTTTCCGCTCTCTTTACTAATAGTTTCTTTTATTCCAGAAATGGCTCCAGCGGACAAGAAGAAACTGGTGAAACCTGCCGTTCGTGAACCCCTTAGGAGACCAAAAAAGCCTAAGGTCAAGAAAGAGAAGGTTGTTAAAAAAGAAGAACCACCTAAACCCAAAGTAAAGAAACCTGTCAATCCACGTCACTTCAGGCCCAGGAAACGTCATGAACCCAAACGTCTCCTTAAATTGAAGAAGAAGGATGAGCGGGAAGTACCTGCCAGATTTTTGGGTGGTCGTCTCTTTGCCAAGGCTATTTTCACTGGATACAAGCGAGGACAACGACAACAGCATGAAAAGTACGCTCTTTTGAGGGTTGAAGGGTGCAAAAAGAAGAAGGATTTGCAGTTTTATGTAGGAAAGAAATGTATCTTTGTTTACAAGGTAATGTCTTGTGTTATTTTATTCACTTTATTGTTAATAGTTATTTTACCAACCGAAAAACTTTATAAACCAGAAGATATTTTATTTCTGTTCCTTCGAAATCTTTCCATCAAGACACTCACAAGCCAAAGATGTGTTTGTGACAGACAAACGCTAATTACTCAGTGAGAGCGTTGCGAGTTTGACAATTGTGCTCGAATCTCTAATGAGACAAAACCTATTACCCGACGACTGTCATAATGGTTCAATGCTCATTGCAACGGCTCCGCGACCTTTTGAGGCCAGTGAATAGAGCAAACAGTATTGATGTAGTAATCGAAGTCCTGTGATGGTAGTTAGGCCTCTGTTGGACAAAAGGTAATTCACCGAAATAATCTCTCTTGTTCATCACAAACGCACCGTAACATGAAGTTAAAGTGTTGAGCTTTTCTGCTATGTGTTAAGACATCTTAGTGTGTTGTTCCTCCATGATTGGGGTGTCTACAAGTCCAGAATTTGTGGAAAAAGTACTGATTTTTCACGGGCGGTACGGAAGTACTGAAAAAGTGTGGAAATTCTGTTCGTTGGAAGGCCCGGAATTTTTCATTTTTCTCGCAATTTGAAAGAGATATTCATATTTTTGAAATTTTTCGAAGTTTGTCAAATGGAGGTACCAAAAAAGTAATGAATTTTTCTTTTGAGGAGGTACTGAATTTTGCGGGAATGCACTGAAAGAGTACTGTAAAAGCACTGATTTTTGGCCAGCCTGTTTTAGTAAACACCCTAAAGGTGTAGTGGTTGTAACACTGGCTTTTTCATCAGGTCTTGAGTTTGATTCCTGGCCAGGCAACCCAAGTTTGAAGGGGAGAGGGGGAAGGAACGAGGAAATTTTCCAAGATGGGACTTTTTTAAAGAGGCTGCCTCCTCAATAGGGAGAGCATGTATTTTCTGGCGTTGAAAAGTGAGCTGAAGGCTCATATTTGTTTCAAATTTTAATTTTGCAGTTTTATTTGTAAAGTATGCTTTGTGCCGTATGGGGGACTGATGTCACAGGTTTAGCAATCCTGCGGACCCCAGCTGGTAACCCCTGCCTCATGGGGTAGTGGAGATGGTCACCGGCTTCAAGGCGTATGAACCACCCATTGGAAGGGCAGACAGGGCTCTCAGCTGTAGTGGAAGCAACCTGTCTAGGAGAGGAAACTCCGAAATCAAACCCCGGTCCTCCAGGTTGGGGGTTGAGTCATCGGGCTAACTCCCCGATACTCGGAAAAAGGAATACTGTTAAAAGACCCAATAACAATTGCCTCGGTACAAACGGAAATAAACGGATTTATCGGAAAAAATTACGTAAACGGATGATGGTTTTTGGAACATGGAACGTACAAGGAATTTCTACGAAAATGACGGAAGTGGTATCGGAGATAGGGAGTCACGGATTTGATGTCACGGTATTAACAGAAACGAAGAAGAAAGGACAAGGCTCTGTAAGTGTAAAGGAATACGATTTGTTTTATAGTGGCGTGGAAAAAGATCAGCGAGCTCAACAGGGTGTTGCAATTCTTATTCGCAAGAGCCTACGGAAGTGCATCACTACATGGGAAGCTGTTAACCCCCGAATGATAAAGATGAATATGACAGTGTTTGGCCATAAAATCACCATTTTGGGAGTGTATGGAGTCAACGATGATTCCACTGTCGCAGTGAAGGACCAATTTTTCGAAGAATTGAACGAGGAAATTGGTAAGATTGGATCCAGGAGGGAAATCATTGTGTTGGGAGATCTCAATGGTAGAATAGGACGTCAAATTAAAAGTAAGATCGTCGGCCCTTTCGGAGAGGCGGCACTAAATGATAACGGAGCCCGTATCATTGACGTATGTGAGCAAAGGGACATGAAGGTGCTCAATGGGTTCTACCAACACAAGGATGTCCATAAATTTACTTGGGTTCAGTCTACTCGCGGATTGAAATCAATCATTGATTATGTGGTTGTCAGACAAGACACGGGAATGAAGATTCAGCAAGTTAGAGTGTGGAGAGGTCTTTCCTGCGGCAGTGATCATTATTTCCTCGGGGCAAAAATAGCTTTCCCAGTGAAAGGGAGCCAGGAGACCAGGCAAGCACAGGAAGAAGTTCACCAACAAAAAGATCGTGTCAAGCTTGTAAACTATAACATTGACAGCTTGCAGCATCCAAGTGTAAGGGCTTTATATGGAAAGCGCTTGGATGAGAAGTTGGGCGAATCAAGGGACGGTGATACCGAACAGCAGTATCAGTTCCTGAAGGATTGCATTCACTCGGCAGCAATGGAAGCTCTTGGTGTCGCTGATGATAGGAAAGTTAGCGAAAAACCTTACTGGTGGGACGAAGAAATTGAGAAGGAGATTCAGGAGAAACGGAAAAAATATCATCAGTTCCTTTCCTCTAAAAAAACAGAAGACAAAGAGGCGTATAAAAAAGCTCAGACGCAGGTACGAAGGCTCATAACCAAGAAAAAGAACGAATCTTGGGAGAGGAGCTGTAACAAAATAGACACGTACATAGGAGGAAGGAAAAGCACTGAGAGCTGGAAGTTGCTGAAAGGGCTGCGAAGGGACATGAAGCGTGACTTAATATCTCCGATATCCATTGATAAACTGGAGGGGTATTTTAAAAATTTACTGACAGAAAGGCGACCTGAATTTCAAGATGGAGGCGTAAGCTTGGAGTATACTAACGATAATCATAACTTGGAGATCCATATGGAGGACGTGGTAAAGGCCGTACGAGAGCTGAAGAACGATAAAGCTCCAGGTCCGGGAAATATCCCTGCTGAGTTGATCAAGTGTGGAACCTGCAAGCTGTTTCAACGGTTGAGATACCTGATGCAAGATTGCTTGGACGGTGGAAAGGTACCGACAGAATGGAAAGAGTCTTGGGTGTCACCTATATACAAGAAGAAGGGTAGAAAAGATGAGTGTGATAACTATAGAGGACTGTCGGTTGCAGGTACCCTGAGCAAAGTGTATGGAAAAATCTTGAAAGCAAAAATTGAAGAGGAGTGGAAAGAACATGAAGCGGAAGAGCAAGCAGGTTTCAGAGCCGGTCGGTCAACGATTGATCACTTATTTACCATCATCCACGTCATAGAGAAAAAGAAGGGAGTTGGCCAGGAATTACATCTAGTGTTTGTGGATCTCCAGAAAGCTTACGATAGTGTGCCATTGATGAAACTTTGGGAAGCCTTGAACAAAAGGGGTTTTAGTGGGGGACTAATTAGTGCTATTAAGTAATTTTATGGTGGGGCTTTCTCTAGGGTTAAATTGCATGGGGAGTTATCGTTGGGGTTTTTAATTACTAAAGGACTGAAACAAGGGTGTTGTTTGTCGCCAACCTTATTTAAAGTGTACCTGGAAGAAGTTTTAAAGGAATGGAAAAGATGCTGTTCGGGAATGGGCGTCCCGCTACGTGAAGATGGCACCCTTTATACTCTGTGCTTTGCTGATGATCAGGTGGTAATAGCTCAGGACGAAGAAGATGCGAATTACATGCCGCGGAAGCTAGTGGAAGTATACCGAAAGTGGGGAATGGAAGTAAATGTGGTTAAGACGGAGAAGTTGGTTATCGGTGGTGATCAGCAAAGCATTGAACTGGAGGATGGCCGGAAGATCCTGGACTGTGAAGAGTATAAATATCTCGGAGTTCGGTTAACTAAGGACGGAAATTTGGATCGGGCCATTAAAGATCGGAATGTGCAAGGCAGGAAAGCTATCGCGATGCTAAATGGGGTTCTCTGGGACCAGAGTATCTCCAAGGAGACCAAAAGGAAAATTTACAACGTCATCGTGAAGAGTATCGTAACTTACGGGAGTGAGGTCTGGCAACTTAAGAAAAGAACTGAAGACATGCTTAGGGCAACCGAGATGGACTTTTGGCGAAGGTCTGCTGGGATATCGAGAAGAGAGCGTATCCGCAATGAAAGGGTACGCGAGATAATGGGTGTGGAAAAGGACATCGTGCACGATATCAGGTCCAAGCAGTTGGTCTGGTATGGACATGTGCGAAGGATGGCAGATGATCGGTTGCCCAAGCAGGTCTTCGATTGGGTTCCTCCCGGAAGGCGACGGCGTGGACGTCCTGTGAAAGGTTGGCGACAAGGGGTGGAGGAGGAGATCAGAAGGTGCCAATTGCCTGATGATCTCTGGGAGGATAGGGGGCAATGGCGATTGGGCGTCGCAGAGCGCGAGGCGGCGCTATAATCGCGACTTTATGTATGTATGCTTTGTGCAAGTTTGTTTTGAAATCATTTTAAAAGAACAGGCTGTTCATCTATTAAGTACTTATTCTGCTCCGTCTCTAATAAAATCCACAGTTACTGTCAGCATTTGTGTAGTGTCTGTTCTTTGTGTCTCTTGGAAATGTCAGTGAAATAGCCTTTTCTTTATTTTTTTTCATTTTATAATTGTGTAACTCTTGTTTTGTCTAGGCTCATAAAAACAGGAAAATGTCCGTATCCAGGCATAAGACTCCATCCAAAATCAGAGCCATCTGGGGAAAAGTCACAAGACCTCACGGTTCCTCCACAACTGTCCGAGCAAAATTCAAGACAAATCTCCCACCCAGAGCCATGGGCAAAGCTGTCAGAATTGTAAGTATTGTTATTAATTTATACAAATACTATTAGGGGGCTGCGGCCCAACCTCCCAGAGGCGCTTAAGCGCCTCTAATGTGCCGATATCGTGAGACCGTTAAGATCATTAAGAGTGATAATGGAAAACCCGGTGTGTGACATGTTTAGCATGACACGCTCAGCATGACACGGCACCCTTATGATTTTATACTACAGAGAAAGATAATGCATTGATTCTCAAAATTTTGCCTGCAGGGCTGTGACGACACCCTCCTCTCTAAGGATTTACGACCTTTTTTTGTGATTATTGAACTTAAAATTTCATTGCCTCAGTGTCTCTACTCTAATCTGTTCTAAGTAACAGAAATTTTTTTAAAGTTTATATGCAAGAAATCAAATGAAGTAATCAACGTAGATAAGAATTATAGTATTCTATTTTTCTCATCCTGAAAGAATATTCATGTACAAGAACGAAGTGCTTATAATAAGTCAGTCAAAATCCTGCAGTAACTCGCATTCGTTTCTGAGGTTTTTCCCTCTTTTATTGGCATTATTTTCTCTCTATCTTACTCAAATTTTCTCCAATGGACTACATTTAGCTTAAGTTAACAATTAGTTTCACTGAATTTTTATTATTTTAGTCACCAGTTGGGTCAAATAGACTGCAGTACATTTTTATGATTATGCTGTGATTTTTTTCTTGTCTATATACAGTACATATAAGAAGGTCCTCACAGTTGTATTTTAAAATCTTGTCAGAAGTTCATTCGAGTATGATCTTGTGCTCATGAAATTCAGTGGTGCAATAGTCCATGGTAATGAACGAGAGTTGGGTATGAAGCACCTTTCAGATGACTGAGACAAGGTGTTCACACCATGGCATAGCCATCGGTGCTTGCTTCTCAAAAGAAGAAATGCGAATTTCAAATAGAAACAACTCACTCTAAGTAAATGTTTCCGTGCGCAATTGATGAGTATGTCTGGTTTACCAGAAGCACCGATCAGCCATGATGTAATGTTGACACCGTTGTCTTGGCTCATTGTGGCCACAGTAGTAGCAAAAAATTAGAAGCATAACTGTTGTATAATTTAGGGGAATAGCCTGTTTTTTAGGAGAGAGTTACTTTTTTCAGAAATTAGGCAAACAGTGCTGAAGAGAACCTAACATATCAAAAAGGTTTGACAATGAATCTCAAGATGAAACAGCTTCGTTACAAGGAGGGAAAAAAAAAACGACATTAAAGTCGCAGAAAGTTCCTGATCACAAGATCATTGTGTACCAAATGGGGAGGCCAGCATGCTACAGCATCAAAACTGCAATGAAAATCATGTCCTTGTAGTTGCCGAGAAATTTGCATGTTTTCGTAGAATCGCCAAGGAACTCCTCTGTATTTTTGCCAAATCTTGGCAATTTGTGAATGAAGGGCAAAAAACTAGGTCATTGTATTGATAATTTTGGTTGAAAGGTGGTTTGCATAATGGATAGGCCTTAAAATTTCTGTGCCCCTGAATCACTAATGTCATCAAAACAATTTTTAAAATTTAACAGCATATTTTACTTCATATTTTTATCTAAGTGCAACCTCAGTATAAAGCCTTCTAAGTACTCCCCATTCTGATGGGTTTAGTGATGACTGCATTTTTTTACAAGTGAATAGGTTCAGTAAAAAAAAATGACTTAGCAGCAAGAAATGCATTCTGAAAGTGATACATGAATCCTTTAGAATTTGGAGACGCCTGTTTAGAAACCTGTGCAAGACTCAAGTCATTAAATTAGTCTATTTGCCAGAGAGTAATTGCTGAATGATCCCTGACATGAAACATCTGCCTATTACGCAACTGATTTATTTTGCACTCTCTAATTAATGTGTTTGATTTTTGTTTCAGATGCTCTACCCATCCAGGATTTAATTCCCAAAACATGTTTTTTTTTTACAACCTAAGTTTTCAATTTTAAAATAATTGAATTTACTTTTAATAAATTGATCGTTTGTATAAAGATCTTGTTTCTTTTTTTTCAATGGAGGATTTTGAAAATTTCTCTCATGATGTCAATGATTGCTAAAGAATAATACTTCCTATCTGCTAATTTAGGACTTTGCAGAACCAAGAGAGCACTTCGCAACTTGTGAAATTTTTAGGTTAGATTTGCAATATGTTTACTTAAGGTGATTCGATGGACGCCATATTTTGTGTCAGAACGGCATGCAATATAGTGCATCAATTGGTTCCATTTTTTCAGCTACTCGTCATTTTTCTCCAATTTTGAGATCGCAATTCTGTTGTCAGGAGACTAAAGCACTCACTTACCAATTTTGACAAAGAAATTCAACGTAATGAAGGCATGGTTTTTTTAGAGAGAAAATATCGCATTCGAGTGCAGTTTCTATATCAGTATCAAATGCGATGTTTTCTCTCTAAAAAAATCACGCCTTTATTACGTTGAATTTCTTTGTTAAAATTGGTGAGTGCTTTAGTCTCCTGACAATAGAATTGCGATCTCAAAATCGGAGAAAAATGATGAGTAGCCAAAAAAATGGAACCAATTGATGCGATATATCGCATGCTGTTTTGACACAAAATATGGCGGCCATCGAATCACCTTAATACAGCATCATTAAAGCGCTCCCCTACAGAATTGGAAAAAAACTGAAATCAGCAACTTGCGTATTTTATTTGTCGAGGTCAGCGGATTCGCCCACTCATTTTTGCCAAAATTGTCAGTGAGGCGGTTTTGTTCGCTAGCCCTCCAGAAGCGAGTTTCTCTTAGAGGAAAGCAGTAGTCCCTCTCGTGTTTCTTGCTAAATTTTACTCAAAATTAAATACTTGAATTTTAAGTTCCCGCCTCCTGTGGCACCAGTGAGTTCTATTAGTTGTCCCTCATAACATGCAAAATATAATCAGGAACCTGCAGTGTCACACAGGACCTGCGTTTCCCTAGCGATAGCGATCAATAGGCTTCTCACAAAATTTTACTCAGGAATAACCCAAGAATGACGCTAACTGAAAGGAGAGTGGCTTTGGAGTATATTAGTGCCAAGTAAGGCTGCCTCTTAATGGTCTCATCACGGCATGTGGAAAAAATGAAAAGTGATAAGTAGTGAGATAACTTAGACACCATGGCATCACTAGACACAACTTTGACAGAAGTGGTGAATCTTAGGAAAAAATGCGCGCCAGAAAGATATCTCTGTCTTTAAATTTTTTTTCTTAAATTTTTTATTTATTTTTGGAGGAGTTCAAAACATTTTATGAACTAAGTTGTACCTACTTGGCGGGTCATCTTTCACTGATGGCTAATGGCAAATAGCACACTCATACCATGGCATGAAACTTAACCTCACTTGCATGGAGAAGGGAAAAATAAAAAATTCATTAAATTAGGAAACTAAACGAACATAATTTATTGTAAACTTCTGATACTGAATACAAATATAAATTGAGATGATCTAAAATTTTTTATTCTTGCAAGCATGAGGAGAAGGAAGATAGTTGAGTATGATTGATGAGGGAACAAACAAAACAAGTCCCGAAAGGAATGCGATTCTGTAGGTACTCTAGGAACTAATGTACAAAAATATATCTTAGAGAATAGATTCAGTTTAGAAGAAAATTTACCAACTTAGTAAGTTGATCGAAAGTGATTATCATCAATTGCTGTGTAGACATGTCCTTCATTGACCAACCATTCAAGGATGTTCCTGGAAACAGAAAAATTAAAACAATTAGATTCTTGCGGATCCAAGGCTTTAGCTTTAAACTTAAAAATGTCTGCAAAGTCTCAAACCATATCAATAGCTAAAAAATGGGAAACCTTGTCCCTCCGTTTACGATGTAGCAGACTACCTGTCACTCTTCATTGTTTCTTTGGAAAACTAGTTAATGTAATTTCTTGACAACTTTCTTGATTTTTCTTCTATGCTAGCAGAAAATATTTAAAAATTTTAAGTTATAAAGTTGCCCTGTCTCTTTGAAAAGCTAAAACGGAAGTGGAAATTTTGAAACACTGCAATGGAGGTACTTAGTTCCGCACTTGGGCCATTCATATGATGAAACACACGACAATGAGCGAAGTCTTGGGTCTGAGTCTTTTCTGGTGCAAAATAAGATTGTAAAATGAGGGGCCATTAAGGACTGCAGAATATGCCACATTACAATACGCAGATTGCAAGCAAACATTAGGCACAGCAAGAGATTAATTAAAAAAAGAAGGATAAGCAAGAGTTGGAAGATTTTGAGAAAAATATGTAAGTTTAGCAAAAACCATGAGGGATGGAATCAATTTTGCAATAATTTAATTTAAGAAAAATTGGAAACTTGGGTCATGAGGGAAAAAAGCCCCATCGTGGCAAGCAGGAAACCTCGTCATACTTCCTGCACTCCTGGAACTATCAAGAAGGCGATTCAGGGTATCTATCTACAGACCCTGCAAAAAAAATTCCCTGACTTTCCCAGGTTTTCCCTGATCAAAGTACATAATCAAAATTCCCTGACTTTACAAATCGACAAAATGCACGCATAGAATTGAAAATGAAAAATTTTTTACATTAATTTAACCGCAACGCAGATTTAAGTGAACTTTTTTCCTCAGGTATTAATCATTCAACCAACTAAGATTGCAATTTTTCATTTGAAATTACTCCTTTATTCACAATTGAGAGCGTAAACAACTCAGAAAAATACACTCTGAACTAGACCGAGTCATCAGTTTGATCGTGTGGACAGGGCTGATGTTTTTTCAGACTTCCAATCATTTTCATCAAGTTCCCTGATCTAATGGGATTCTTGAACAGTTCAAAATGTTTAAGGTTTTCTAGACCTGTAGACACTACAATTTTTCTGAAGTTTCAAACTGTCCTCTCCTCAAGCTGCAAGTTAGGTCCATCTCCTGCAAAAAAACTTGCATCAGGCTCCAACTTCTTCCCCTACCATTTTGACGTCAAAAATTTAGAGTTTTCATTTAAAATGAATGGACACTGATCACAGATTTTATTGAAATTCAAGGTACTGCTGCTTCTTTCTCAGTAGCACAATCATAATAGAACCTCTTTCCCCCAATAGCATAACAGACTTTTTTATAGAACCTGATAGGACATATTTAAGCACTAACAAATTCCGCAATTATCATTGCTAGAGGTAAAGATGATGACTTGAATTTATTTTCTTTCTTCCCTAAAAAATTCTTATTACGACCAGGCTAGAGAAATACTTACGTAATATCTTTCATTGGCATTTTCTGAGGTAAGGCATCATGAATTTCCTGAGGAGTTATTCCATTTTCATCATTACTCTGCTGTATAACAGAGAAGACTTTCTGTTGTGTTGGGTTAAAGTTGAGGCCGTTCGTATTACTGTCATAGTATGAATTTGGATTTGCGCTTGCATTCGTTCCTCCAATTCCACTGATCTCTCCGTTCAACCCTGGTTCTTTCTTCATTTCAAAGTCGCCCGCCTAAAACAGACAAACTTGCTGTTAAATGCTGTTACACTGCACAAATATTTGATTGTGTTCCTCTTCATAAGACAGAATTGCATGGTGTTTTAGAGGAACTAAGAAAGAAACTTCTCAGACTAAAGCTAGGAATGTGCAGCAGAAATTTGTTTAAAATAATATTGATACTTCAACAATACTCTCAAGATTTTAAGAGTAGGTTTTAACAAGAATTTACCTTTTCATATTCTTCTGCTTTCAATGCAACATAAATTATTTCAAGCATATGTGATGTTATTTCTGCAAGGTCTGTGAGGGGCTGCAAATCAATGACGATCATATGTTTTTCTCCAGCCGTGGTGCGAATCGTTCCGATTGCACGATGGTATTGGTTTTCTACTATTTGAATATCATCTCTTTTGTCTGGATCTCCCTGCAAAAAAGGAAAAAAGACTTATTAGTATGAAAAAATAAAATTGTGCGAGACCATTCTCCCAGAAGCAAGCCTCATGATTCGACCAATCCATCTACGAATGCCCAGCTTTGTCATTTGATGATTGTCGAGTAGAATCAAATAAGTTTTGCTCTACCATGTCTCCCGACTTTTTAGCCCTTCAAAATGGAAAAATCTGAAATATTTTTTTTTTAAATTTGTTCAAAATTTTACGCTTAATCAGGTCCCAACATCGCTTTAGGCAGTTTTTGCCATTTAATATCTGAATTTTGGCCCTAAACAGCTGAAATGTCCTGTACCGTAGCCTGTCTGCGACTCAAGTGCGCAACTTTAACGCTTCATAACCATCATCTTGCATCTAAATACTTCCACTTCTGCTGTAAATTCACACTCAACTTGTACCTAACTTATTATTTTCAGTTATATTCATCCAAATAAGTGAAAATATTGACC